TTAGCTTTAAGAATCGTGCAGCTTGGTTCTCGAAAAACGAGTATGTTTGCATGTGGTTAGATTTAGGATCATTTTCCATTGATTGTACCAGGAAGATAGAAAGTTTGTCTGTTTGTAATATGGCAAGGTCGTCTGACGTGTTTATTTTACTGCGTGATGCGCAGTCATCGGCGGACAGATTAATTTGAGACTGTGCATTTTCGGTGATGTCATTTAGGTATATGAGAAAAAGCAAAGGCACTAAGACACTCCCTTGTGGCACACTCAACGTAACCCGAGTATATCTGGATACAGTACCGTTTAGGACAACACGCTGCTCTCGACCTAATAAATAATTTCGTATTCAGTTCAACACTTCTGGATCTATGTTTAACAAGGCCAATTTATACAATAATAACTAATGTGAAACCATGTCAAATGCCTTGGCAAAGTTGAAGAGCACGCAGTATACATATTTCCTACTGTGTAGTCATCTATATATTTGATGATGAAATTCTACCAGCTGTGTGTTGCAAGAGTAACCGCTTCGAAAACCATGCTGTGAGGGGGAATAGATGTGTGCCGAATCCGAGAACGAGTAAAGGTTGCAATAAATAATGTGTTCAAATAACTTACACGGAACCAATGCTAATAAAATAGGTCAATAAATTTTAACACTGGTTTTAGAACCGGATTTAGAAACAGGCCTGTTTTCCATCTTCCAATCTATTGGAACCATCCTTGTTTTTAAAGATTCGTTGAATATAGTAAAAAGATAACGCTCTACAGACTCACTGCAATTAAGGAAAATAACGGGGGAAATGCCGCCAGGTCCAACGGCCTTGGATGCATCAATTCCGCGCAGCAACTTCACGATACTGTTCATGTCAGCTGTAATGCTGGGTATTACGCTTTGCTGTGTTCGGTAAACTATGGGGACTCTTCCAAAAATACCGACTTAAAATACGAGTTAAAAAACATTCAATTTTTGCGTTATCAGACACCACTGTACCACCATCAAATGTCAACGCAGGAATAAAAGTGTCTTCTTTTCTGTTCGCATTATCAAACTTCATCATTCTTTAGGGTTTATTTTTAGAGTTTTGTTGAACTTGTCAAAAAACACTTTTTTTCATTTATTTGCATTTTGGGAAGGTTATTGATCTCTTTGTACTTCTGCTCAGTTTGGACCGACCAACTTTTGGAAATCTTTTTATAAGCACGTCTTTCTTTACATTGTTTATTCAAACTTTTCTTGAAACTACCGAGGCGGTCACTATGAACCTTTTGAACAGGAGTACTTTTGGGGTTTCTACGACTATTGGTGGATTTGACAATGCATATAAAAGTTGCAAGGTGATTCCTAGTATCGCAGGCTATCAACCTTGACCTTATTACTTGCTTCTCAACGTTAAGGCTCGTTCACACTCTTGCAACCGAGTACGACCGAGAGAGACGAGACCTCATGAAACCTCTTAAAATTTCTTAGGAGGAGAGAACAAACTGCCACCCTGGCGCCATCTATGCGGTGACCCTGAAAATGCATTTCACAAGAGCGGAGGTTTTGCGGGATTTCCGAAGTCAAATGTGCGTAATACCTATGAAAAAGGCTCGTTTGTAACGTTGAAAAACGTTTTTCGAGCCAAGAAAGAAAGGATAATGCGCGAGGGAAATAGAATATAGGCCGGACCGCCAAGTTTACACTGCTACCCGATAGATGGCGCCAGTGTGTCCTCTTGTTTCAAGAGGTTTTGAGGCACCCGGTTCTAAGAGGTCGCAAGTTTGTGAACGGGCCTTGAGTCAAGGCCCGTTCACACTTTTGCAACCGAGTACGACCGAGAGAGACCAGACCAGTTCTTAAGCCTCTTGCGATCTCTTAGGACTAGCTCCGCTGCAGCTCATCTGGTCCCAAGAAGTCGCAAAAGGCTTAAAAACCGGTCTGGTCTCTCTCGGTCTTACTCGGTCGCAAGAGTGTGAACGGGCCTTAAGTGTCCTTTTCGTCTCGTTAAAGTGGCAAGCAAAAGAGGGCTTGCGGGAGAAGCTGCCTTTCTCGAACGCACCAAGATGACGTCATGATGTGTGTCCTGGGTGCCAGGAGCAGCGAGCGGCGGCGGGGCTGGCAGCACCAGCAGCGGCGGAGGGAGGCCCCTGTCCAGCGCCTGGCAGGCGGCCCTGGGGGCGGCCGAGGCCATGAACACGCTGGGCAGCCAGGGGGTCCCGGCCCCCTCGGCGCAGGGGGCGGCTCGGGAGCGCCGACGTCCGCCCCGCAAGGGCCCCAAGGTGGTCGAGCGCCCCCTGCGAGCACTCTTCTGCCTCGGCCTGAGCAACCCGCTCAGGAAGCTCTGCATCAGCGTCGTCGAGTGGAAGTATCCTTCCCGGCCCACGCGTCCTATAGGGAGTATTCGCTGACGGCCATAGCTGTGTGCGCGAATGCTGAGCGCGTGCTCATGGCGAGCTTCCACAGTTCTTTTGCAACGTGTATTCCGCACCATCGAGAGAGTTGGGCTTAGTAGCCTATTTATGTGAGCTCGTTCTGAGCATGCGCTCTAAACAGCACCCACAAATATGGCGTCCAGTGAATACTCCCTAAACCATTAGCCCAAATTTGCTTCCTTCGAGTAAACATTTTGTGATCGACACTCCCGTTCATTTCCTTGACGCTGTCCCACCAGACCTTTTGAATATTTAATTCTGTTGACAATTTTCGCCAATTGCGTGGCTTTAGCTGTTTACACTCCCTACCCCAACAGTGATTCCAACCAAGTGAATGCCACTCTGGTGAGTCAGGCTTGTCTTCCTCAGAGCCACTAAGACACACGCCTCAGAGTAACGACCGTTCAGCCACCCTGTTGCCTACGATCACTTCAGCCATTGATCTGAAGCTTTACTTTAAATTGCAAGAAACGCTTTTTTTTTTTTTTTTGTAGGACGCGTAAAAACGGTTTGCGACAGAACAAAACGCTTTCACTCGAGCTTCCTGACATCATAAACTAAAGCTCAGAAGTCGCATGTTGTGTTCCTAACGATCACCAATGGCTCCCAAGCCCAAAAATGGCTGCTCCCACGATACAGTTGTGGCATGGAGTGTCGATACTCGATGCGTAGCTTGCTGAGTGGCACTGGCCATTGGGGGATTTCGGGAGAATCGTCAGATATTCGCGTACTCAGGGATGTTGCGAAAACTCGTTGATTTTGCTGATATCCGGCATCCCTGCACGTCGACATCTCTAGTCGTCAGCATCTCGCAAACATTTACGAATACCCATTGGATGTTCTTTTACACGGAGAATACATGCGCAGTTACATCGAGCTAAAGAACGCTAGCCGAATAAGAACTTTCAGAACAGGGTGCCCAAGCGCTTTACACCTAGGGAAATGGCATCGTTGCCAGCGCGCATGCGTAAAATCCATAGCCTGTTTAAGGGTCTTGAAAGAAAGAACCACTTTTCGAAGTGTTGCGCGAATGCCCAAACTCGCTTTGCACCGCCTCCCCCCTTTTTCCCAGTGTCGCACGCAGTAGGGAGTTTCCCTAGACTTTTCCCTTCCCCAACGCTCATCGCAATAAAGACGATACTACTGCGCATGCGTGCCGACAGCATTGTCCGCAGTGTGCGCGATTTTGTGACGGATCTCGAAAGCGTTACCGGACAGCGAAAATGATTAACGAGTTTCATCAAATTGTTCCGATATCTTTGATAACGATACCAAACATCGATAGGGTTCACGCGCAAAGGTGTAGTATCGGGTATCGGAGTTATCGGAACGTTCTACTAAACGCCCTAATAGGAAGTTTTAGTCAATCGTTTCGATACTTCCGATAACGATAAGCCCGATAGCCCGCCGAGACCTGCCCACATGCACCGCGTCGTTATTGCACTTATTGGAACGATCGACTAAAACCCCCACCAACTCATCAGTTGCTTGGCGTCTATTTTTTGCCACTTGGGTAAAAATGCGTTTTTGTACTAATACACTTTTGTTTTGTTTTTTTTTGTTTCTTTTTGCAGGAAAAAGTGGAGTATATATTTCTAGTGATATTTACAGCTGAATGCGTTATGAAAATTATTGCCTACGGATTCCTGTTACACCCAGGTGCTTACTTACGCAACTCATGGAATTTTCTAGATTTCGTAATTGTAGTTATAGGGTAAGTGCCTTCGTTTTCTCTCCAGCATATTTCGATACCGCGATACTGTTGACAACGCACCGACCATACGACGAAGTGTCGCACGAGTGCTACGTGTCAGCGCTTACGCGCCCATTTGTCGCCCGGTACGCGCTGATTTTCGTAAAGTTATGTGCAAGCTGTCTTAAGTTACCAGTATATGCCACTAAAAAGTTAATCCATCCGCTCTCATTATATAACGGGTATTAAAGTATATATCTTGCTATATATGTATACTTTTTGTCGCTTTTTTTAAAGAGGTCAATTTTTCTGAGGGTTTCCAATAAAGCGGGTAACTGAACAAAAGGATTGTGAGTCCGCAGTCGAACTTATGGTAGATAATCATGTAGTTTAACACCTAAGACTGTGGTCCAGAAAAGGGGAAAAAAAGACGTTTAGTTGAAGGAGCAGACACAGTAGGGAATGCCTCTGTGTGCTCGACTGAACTTTTTTTTTTTTTTTCTGCACCACAATTTCGGTGTTAAACGACATGATTAACTGGATGACGCTACCACGTTTGCTAACTTGATCAACCTCTAAGCAAGAAGTGTGCAATATATGAGGCGAGCAACTGTTCCGAATTGCGGCGTATCGGAACGCTAGGAAGGGAACGTCAGCTAAAGGGTAACATAGAGAACGCCCAGGGAAGGCGCGATGACGATGCAGTCAACCAAGCACGCGCCGTCATCTCTTCATGTCGCGGGGTATACAAAAGCAGGTGGACGAATTTGGAGGGTAAACAGCCGCACGAGGTGCGCAAGAGCCTTGCACACCGTATATTCTTCTCTTATAAGCGTCTGTTCTCATAGTAATGAAAAGCGTTGGTAATAAAAAAAAATGATTTTTTTTTCTTTGCAGTCTTATCAGTACAGCCCTGTCCTTTTTTATGAAGGAAGGGTTTGACGTCAAAGCGTTGCGAGCATTCCGAGTTCTAAGGCCATTGAGACTAGTTTCTGGAGTGCCAAGTAAGTGTGCACCGAACTGGCTCTGCAACCACCGTTTCTCTTCTGCCCATTTCGATGTGCTACTCAGCGCTCCAACTTAGAGTGTATGTAATATTAGTTCCATAGTACGGGATGAGTAAGTGTGCACTCCATGTTGGAACACTGCAGTCAGTCAGGTTTGCTTTCAGTTGCAAGAACACTGTAATACGTCTGGTGCGTCTACTTTCCTGCAATGCACACAGGCGAGCCAATCCCTGCAATCTACGGAGCGAGCTGAGCCAATCAAAGAGTTGATAATTTGTGAAGACAAAAAAAAAAAGTCTGCGTTGTGGCACTGAGTTCGACGTTTTACCAGTGCTGTTGGCGTTAATGAAAAAAAAAAATGTAACGAAATAAGTTACTGACTGGTTATTTTCATATAAAAAGAACGCGTTACCGACCTAAGTTACCTTAAAATAAAGAAACGCGTTACCGTCACTGACAAAAAGTAACGCACGTTACTTTCGCGTTACTTTTTAAATTATGAATTAACGCGTTGTACTGTTTCGAAGTTTGAGGTATGAATGAGCGCTATATTTCAAGAAACATTATGTCCATGCAGAAACTGAACATAAATATTTTTTTTTACGGCTCCACTTAAATACTAGCAATAAAAATACGAAGAAAACGCCTAAATCTAAAAAATTCACTTAACTTGGCGCCTAAAAACACGAAAAAAATGTAACTGTAATTTTTTTTTAAGTTTTGGGAAGAATATATAACGAGTGATGTAATTGCGTTACCCGTTACTGTTTTGAAAAAGCAACGCGTACGTACTACGTTACCGAAAAAGTAACGCGTTACATCCAACAGTATGTTTCACTGTGCTCAGTGACACAGCGCAGAGTGTTTTATTTAATCAATACATAAGATCAGCTTAGTGATTGGCTGAGCTCGCTCCGTAGACTGCAGTGATTGGCTCTAGCAAGTGCTTTGAGGGAAAGAATATGCTCTAAATTTCTTAGAGTGTACATGCTTTACCACGGCGAACAAGATGAGCCAATCACTTTGACGTACGAAGATAATTCAGAAAATTACAAAACCCAGCACACATCTTGAGTGTGTGCCATGAACTGGGGAACTAAGTATGATAGTTCATGTGCTCTGCTTCTTTGCGCGAAGAGAATGTTTTACTTAAAAAGCACTGGTCGGGCGGAATTCTGTGGTGATTGGCTCTTCGCTAATCTTCGCATCAGTGAAGTCAAGACGCGAGTGACACAGGCTGCGGAAAAGCCCGCTTCATCTCACCGTGCTTCCTGTTGCAGGTTTACAAGTTGTTTTGAATTCCATTCTGAAAGCCATGGTGCCTTTACTTCATATCGCTCTCCTCGTGGTGTTCGTCATCATCATCTATGCCATCATCGGGCTGGAGCTGTTCTCAGGAAAGCTGCATCAGACCTGCTACATCAACGGGACAAGTACGCTGCCGCCAGATCGCATCCTTTTTTTCTCGTGTTTGGATTATGGAAATAATATAATAATCTAGGGGAAAATGTTCCATGCATCTCGGCCCCTCTGGATCCGTGGGGCATAGACGCAAATATTGGAAATCCCGATGGCATCATATGGCTGGCCACGCACACATATAAAAGATTCCCCCCCCCCCCCCCGCCCCCCCACCCCCCCTTAAAAAAAAAAGCAAGGAAGAAAAACGTAATCTTTGGGATACTCTGCATCTTAGAGCGTCGCCAGCGGTGTCACCATAATAATTAGAATTAAAACAAAAATGTTTTAATAAATGGCAGATAAAGAAAATGCGCGGACGATCACGCAATCCGATCAGGTAGTGCGACATTTCGACGATGTAACGTCGTGATTGTCTGACGGTGATGTTGCGTCGCGCGGTGTGTCTCTCGTGTAAACCAGAACCGATCACACACACACACGAAACAGCCAGCATCAAACACGTTCTTGCGCATGCGCTTCACAAATTGCTTCTCGGTCGCATTCGCGTGTCCCTTCTTCCCTCGGCAGCGTTCTCTTCTACGTACCGTTTCACGTTCACGCACAGCATGAATACGTTCTGTCCTCATACCCGTAAGGAGACCGTCGGCGCCTACACATCGACGACGTAGTCTCCCACGGGCGCGTTTGCGACGTCGAGGAGCCGCTACTTGCTCCGGCGTCTGCTTCGGCAGCCGAGGGAACGGGCGACCGAAGGCCAGAAAGAGCCGGTGGACAGGAGCACGGTCACGTGACCCCCAGCGCCACCGCGATTCGCCGAAGGCGCTGCGTTTCAACCGCGATTATTCTCAGTGAAAGGGCGAGGGTATCGTTGCTCTACTCGCCCTCTCCCGGCACCAAAGTCACCCGCGATGAAAGCCCGCATGCTCCGTTCGTTGTCGGCAACACGGCACTCGCCCAGTGCAAGCCCAGCATAGCTGACACTCTAATATGCTCCTGATCGCAACAAAAACCGTATTAAGAAAAAAAAGAAAGGTCGTTCCCCCTCATGCGTTAAATTAAGATATATGGTATGTGTCTTGTATCAAGCTGCGGGAGCCACTAGATAGGTCAGACCAGCAGATGAACAGATCAATGACTCCGGGAACATTACAATGAAGTTTCCAAGGGCTCACCTGATTCCTATCATCCCGTAATCATGAACGCCCGTTCCTGCACATACACCAGGCCCCGTTTCAAAGAGTCAGGAATATTGAAGAAAGGGGTGGGGGGGGTTCGACATAACTGCAGATTCGGCCGGGAGACTATTCCTGACGAAAACTGAGATTGAATTTCTCAAATTAGAGATGACTCTGTCGATCCGACTTTGCATTTTATCCCATCGTCTCTTCCATCGTTCCTCTCCTCTTAGTTACCTTCCCTTTCCTCGATTTCTCTACCTTTAATCGGTTCTTCGCTTTTGGAATTCCTATATGTCAGTTGGTAGCTGATAGACGTAGTTAAGTCATCTACGTCCCACAGGTTTATGCTTTCTTCAACCTTTACCCCACCAACACGCTCTTCGTTCATTAATCTTATATTAGATTTAAGTTATTTATTTGAGAGGTACGCGTTTCAAGCGCCAAAAGCGTTGTTTCTGTCTATAACAACTAAACCTCGTGAGAACCACTTCGCGCAGCTCAGGAAAAACGCGCAAAACTTCCGGCTTTTATGTGACAACCAGTATAGTTAAATTTCGCTACGCTGTTTGCAGTCAAATTTAATTCAATCGAAATGTTTTGTAATACTCATAAAGTAGAACTGCGTTTCACGTATATCATCGCACAGTGCCCCGGATAATACTTTCTCACGTTTAAAAGAACTGCGGTTGGAAAATCTTACTTTTACCCTAGGAACGGTCACCTCCCTTCACTCGAAGATTAAACCCGCCTCAACTACCGTTAAGATTTAAGCAATTACAGGTGACATTAAGGAGTTAACGGTACCCTAAGTATTAATGTAAAAAAAGTGATTAATTACAGCCCTAAGATATTCAAGTGCCGGCATTTTTGGCGTTATCAGTTTCCTGGCTGTTTCAATGTACCTCGCTGGAAATCGTAATTTTTTTAAAACTGTTTTTACTCTGTAGCTACAGCAACGCCGGCCGATCGCTCAGAGCCAACCTAAGAATTAATTGAACCGATTCAGCGGGAGAGACGAGACCAAAACTTGGCGAAGACAGGAAAAGTTCCTTATTAAGATTTCGTGGCCTTTCGCGCTGTTTGTTTTTAATTAGGCTCAATCAACGAGCGGACAATTTTGGCACAGGTTTACTCAGGGAAGTTCGGTTTATGGCACGCCACTGGATTAGTGTGTTCGCGTCACTTTATGCGCCTGGGGCAATGTGACGCTCGGTTCAAGTTCAACCAAAATATTAAGTTGTTTTTCTATTGCAAAAATAAACAGTAAGTATCGCTGCGTATTTGTGCCCAAGTGTAGTACTATCTTTTATCATAACTATCTTCATAACTATCTTTTATCTTATTAAAGAAGTTATAAGCGATTTCGCAAAATTTTCCCTGCAAAAAAAAAAAAAAAAAGGTGGACGACGGAGCCTTCGATAGCGAAGAGCTGAATGGCGGGAGTTACAAGAAAGGTTCCACAATTTCGCATCGAAATTTTCAAAGTCACTTCAAGCTTTTGAATAAGGTAACGGTTAGTTCTAAAACTTTGGCCTCTGGTTCGGATCACTGGAGCTTCATTTTAACACAGGCTGAAAGTTCAATTCCTGTAAAAAAGAAAAAGTGTTTCGTTCTTGAAGACCTATATTAATAAAAAAAATATTAAGCAATTCATTATTCTGAATGTATGTGGCGGTTTCGAGTCTCTGAATAGTCGACAGGGCTTCGACTGAGTGTTGGATGGTCACCGTTCTGAATGAGACATTTACTCGCCAAGTTTGATCCCCTGAACCAAAGCTCTACCTATACCAGCATAAAGTCAAGGCCTGGTCGCCTTTCCCCTCCAAACGTCACCACTAGTGGCCACCCAGGCAGCGCCGCCTAGCTTGCGTCAGCATGGCTGCCAGCGCGTCTCGCGGCGTCAGCCGTCGAGTGCGGCGCTCACACGCGTGGCGGCGACAAGACCGGAGCGTCTGCCGTTTTGCGGAGACCCTCTCGAGCTTCAGTCTTTTTGCCGCATGGGGCAGGTCGGCGATCCACAAATGATGACGTCATGCGGAGGCCTTGCCTTCTAGGTGCCATTGGCTACACTCTGAAAACTCGGAAGCGCCTATTCTGCCGCAAACCGCTCGGGAGTGTCAGTCGCTATAATTTACGAATGGAATTCAGCAGGAACGTAGTCAGGATTTGTTTTCGGGGAGGAGGGGGGGAAGGGGGGGGGGGGGGGTGTAAATAATATTTTTTTTTTTTTTACACTGAAAGGGCTTTTTGCTAGGCTCAATGTAAACTATTCATTGTGTATTCAGACATATATAGGACCAGTTCTCCTTATTGAAGTGTTTCTGCAAAATGTATGATACCGTGTAAGATCATTCAGTATACCCAATTGTAATTGCCTTTTCTACAAATGCACGTGCCAGTTGTAAAAAAAAGAGTTGCTTTTTTTTCTCGAGTACCCAGTTTCTTTATTTGACATTAGATAAACCGTGTATCAAATCATTAAAAAAAAGGACCAGCGAAATTTTGATTATTCAGCCATATCTTTTGTACTTTAGAGGAGAATCTCGTCAACTTTAGTGCTGATCCTTGTGGCTTGCTGGGCCTCAAGTCGTTGCTGGCTCTGTCTTTGTTCACGGCCCCCTTGTCGCGACGTCTTACTTTACGTCGCTGAACATACCGTATTCGCGTGAAGGCATCCTAGCCAAGATTGTCGCACCGCTCACTTTGCAGGTTTGCTGGTTTGCAAGAATAGTATACTTTTATAATTGACACTGCGCTCTCAAAAGCAAAGTGGAAAGTTGGGCCAGTTGGTTCGTGGCTCTTTAAATAATTAAAAGCGCCTTGTGTCGTTCCATTTTTTTGTCCTTGTCTTTTTCGGCGCTTTTAATTACTTAAAGAGCTCTCAAAAGGGATAGAAGGAGAGACTTTGGGTGAAAAGGGGAAAGGATTAGCGACGCGACTCGTCTCGAAGGTCCTGAAAGATCACGCTGGCGATCTTTAAACACGCGTGCATAGCCTCGCCCCGCAGAGAGGACCAGGCGGTGCCATTTACAAACAAAACCCAAAGGGGACCGTATAACAAATACAGAGCTTGTTATGGGGGACCTGGGATTTGGTAACTTTTGCCTTGTATCTGTTGTGCTACCTCATAGAGTGCAGGCTGTACTCGTCCGAACGCTTCCATTCGGTACCTTTTAGTGGTGGGAGGGGGGGGGGGGGGGAAGTTGAACTACTGAATTTTGTTTGGGGGGCACACATGATCCCAGAGGCCCCCCTCTCTTCCTAGCTACCTGCCTGCAACTCGAAAACGGGACTGAAAATGTGTTTATACCTAAAAAATAAAAACAGTTTCTGTTGTGACACAGAGCATAAAATGCGGAGATGCTTACTGCCACACCGCTTCCTTTGTAAAGCTTCCTTCGTAAATTGCAGCGATGCATCGCTGCCATTCACAAATCGCTCTCCCGGGCAATTTGCGGCAAAATAGGCGCTTCAGATTTTTTAGAGTGCTAGCGAGAGTTTTTAGGAATCGCCGTGCGTGGCGAGTTTTTGGGCCTCGCGTCGCAGCTAATGAGCTTGCGGTGGTTGCCGACAGCCGAGTAACCAATCACTAGGCGATTAGCGCGAACATACTAAGCCAGCCCCTGGGAATAGTGAGCTTTCGGTGAGTGTAGCAGCGGTGGACTCCAATGGGAGTCCCGTACAAGGGTCTTACGGGCGCCGCCATTGTGGCCTTGCAGACGAGTTTGCGGAGTCGGAGCCGCACCCTTGCGGCGAGTCCGGCTTCGTCTGCGACGCCTCGGAGGGCCACGTGTGCCGGGGCTACTGGACCGGCCCCAACTTCGGCATCACCAACTTCGACAACTTCGGCCTGGCGATGCTCACCGTCTTCACCTGCGTCACCAACGAGGGCTGGACAGGCGTGCTGTACAACGTACGCGGCCTCCATTTACACCCTCGCCGGGATACTCTCGTTTACTTTAGTTCGCAGACATCTTGTCGCTCATTGGTTCGCATACAATGCTAATGGCCAGCAACTCGACATCCCGAACGCGGTCACCATACGGCGCTGCCTGCTTCGAGGAACTTGCATCCATCACAAACCCTCTGCGCCGCTCGCTCGCGATTGGTCACCAGCGCGCTGTCACCTGATCACTTGACCACCGTTCTACTCGCGACTACTCGAATGAGAGCCAAACTCCTGCAGTCACTTGTTGCTTGGTTCCTCTTGATGCTTAGTACAAACACTACTCGACAGGGCTACGACAGCATTTTTTATCTGCTCCCCCTTCTCTTTTTTAGTATAATTCCTTAGGGTGTTGTTGGTATTCGGCTCAATCGATAAGTCTAAATGCGGAGACTCTTCGTCCTTAACTGCCCTGCCTGTTCTCGAGCAAGCTTGAATATGCATCGACATCACCGGTGCGTACCAAGAATAAACCTGCAGAGGGGGCGCGAGCAGAACATTTTTTTTTTTCAATTTCCTACGGCATGATGATAATGCAATTAATTCAAAGGTGCAAGCGAGCTGTTCTCCTATCCCAGAGATTATTATCACCATTTTGCTTCTTTTTTTTTTTTTTTTTACTTAGGTTTACGAGCAATGTTTTTATAAGGTTTGCTACAAACGACTGCTGGGAGCGGCGCTGAGTGACGTTTGGCCGTCTGCCTCTCTTTCTCAGATCAACGATGCAATGGGCAACGAATGGCCTTGGATCTACTTCATAAGCCTCATTATCCTGGGTTCGTTCTTTGTGCTCAACCTGGTCCTGGGTGTACTCAGCGGGTGAGTAGAATCTCTTCATATTCCGGAGGCGTGGTACCTCAAATATCAAAACCTAACAACGTTCGAGGGTTTTTTTTTGTTTCTTTTTTTGTTTTGAGTAACACGGCTATGATAGTTGAAGAAACGTACTTAAGATGTGACTGTCTCTAACCACCACTCCTTCTCTTCTTCGCAATTAGTGCTTTATTCTACTTTACCTAAGGAGACTGCTGAGGTTAAAAGCAGAGATGCTTCAGACCCGAGCTCCTAAATGCGTGCAGTTTTGGTTCGTTTTTGGTGTTAATATAACATATAGAAATCTCCGCCTGTTGCAGTACTCTCATTTTAAAATCAAACCTTTTGTTCGCTCGATTTTGATTGATCAATAATTTAATATGGCTCCTTCTTTTGTTTTGCGTTTCAAGCGCCACAGCAACCATTAGTAAAAAGAGACCACAGTGAGACCACGCCAGGCTGCATAAGAGCAGTTTTCTTTTTCTCGGTCTTCTTCTGGCGTGTGATTTATGAAATAAGGATTACTTTTAATATAATCGTTATTATAAGCTGCCCAGTGGTAACGATAATATACGAGCTACGTCCTGGGTGTCTAAAAGCCCGTTCACACAGCTGGGTCTACTTAGGACCGAGTTATTGTGATCTCTTATGACGAGATAATACACTGGCACGTTGTCGCCCTTAATGAGGCGACCGTGGAACTGCATTTTACTAGGCTTTGCACTGTTTGTGAGATCAGATTACGTACTAATTATAAAAATATTCGTTTATAACATTGTCAAATAAAAGAAAATGACGCGAAAGCAAAAATAGGAAACATACCGAGACTTTAAGAGGGACAAACGGTCGTAAGCCGTCGCAAATGTGTCAGTCGGCCTTTAGGCTGTCCGTGTCCACATATCGTTGACCTTTTTCTCTTCAGAGAGTTTTCCAAGGAGAGAGAGAAGGCCAAAGCTCGGGGCGACTTTCACAAGCTGAGGGAGAAACAGCAGATCGAAGAGGACCTGCGAGGCTATCTGGACTGGATCACGCAGGCAGGCAAGCGATGCGTCCGCTTTTCTTCTTCACTCACCACGTTGTCTCGGAGGTGCCGATCACTCCACTCTGACTGCCCACGAGTTACAAACTCACCGATTAGAAAGCACCGGACACGAGTCTGTTCAGTGCGAAGTACACACGGTAGACGTTAATGCACGACAAGAGTGTTTTCCCGTAGGCTGTGCATATTGCACCTGGTAAGCGCACTGTGTGCACCTGGAGTGTAATTTTAGGTGAGTGGCATTCAAGCTTTCTTGAAGAGCCATGAGTAGTGCTACTCTTGTCAATGGAGTTCCATGGAAGAACATCTGTGAACTTCGACGAATCAAATCAAACTTCTCAAAAGGGATGTAACAATAGGGGTGATATTTGTCTTTACATTTCCTTACATGATATCGACGAACTTCGACGAATCGAATCAAACTTTTGTTGAAATCGGTTCAGGTTGATTCTAAAAAGAGATGTAACGATACGAACGAGCGTTAATGTCACATACAGATGTAACGTCTTGGGCAGATTTGACGTGGCATTCAAGCTTTCTTAAAGAGCCAGATGTGACGTGGCAGATGTGACGTTATGGACATATGTAACGACACGGACAGATGGGACGTCACTTAGAGATGTAACGTCAGGGACAGATATGACGTAATGGAGAAATATGACGTCACTGAGAGAAGTAGTGGTAGCATATATAGTTTTCTCGCACAATTTATCGGTGAAATTTACCACGTCGTATGACGCAACCACATGTTGTGACGTCACTTTGTCATGTGATATGTGGGAACGTATTCTGCGTTCACGGGAGCTTGGCAGGGTCTTTAAACTGCCCACAGAGAGGAGTCGTACTGAGTTGGCAGTGGTGTTGGAAGCACATGAGATCCTTTCTCCCCCACAGAGGACTTAGAACCAGACGACAAGGAGGCCGCCGAGGACCGGCTTAGTAAGCAGGATTCCTCTCTCGGTGTACTCGGACTGCGCTTTGCCGCGTCAAGGACCGCATGCTCTCCGCTTACTAGAACTGCTTCCGAAATTCGAAAAGCTTAATTTTTGCAGTTTTTTGCCTAATTCAACAATATAGTATAATAGTTTATCTCTGCTACGATCGCAGTGTATTATTGTAGCGAGACAGGGCTCACTTCACAGTCCTGTTAAGACTGGTTCACACTTGTGACTGTTTACAACCGAGTACCTTAAAGCTTCCTAGGATCTCTTAGGACGAGAGAACACACTAATGCTATCATAGGGTGGCCGTGGAAAACTTGGCATTTCCGTATATTTCCCTTTTGTTTTCGCGCATCATTCTTTTTTGTTTCTTGGCTTGAAGAACTTGACAATGATATATTGACATAGTACGTACCTTTGGTCTGGCAAATACTGGAGGACCTTCGCTCTAGCGAAATACAGTTTCAGGGACACGTCATAGATGGCGCCAGCATACCAGTGTGCTCTCTTGTCGTAAGAGGGAACGAAAACTCGGTTGTAAGCAAACTCAAGTTCGTGCCCGTGTTTTAAGTCTGTCCTTCTTTTTAACTAAGTGATGTTGATAGGCAATATAAAGAAACCTGTAGCGTCTTTAGATATTGAGCATGCTAAGGTGCTGTGCAAACTGTCGAGCACTCACATATTCCACCAGCTTTCTGTCGTGCTTTGTCCATGCGACTAAACTGCTTTGTCTATATCCGTCATTCATCTTTGTGAAGGCATGAATATATACGAAACTTTCAAAAAGTACAATTGACTTGGTGGGAAGTTATTCAGCACTTTTATGTTACGATGCTTAATTTTCAAAACATATCGTTGAGGGTGGTTTTTCCAAATGTCACGAATGTTTGCGCCAGATGCTCACCTCAAATGTTGGGGCAGGCAACTGATCAATGTATAACGAACTACGTCAGCCGCTTAATATATAGCAGTTTTTTGAAAAATGCCGCATTCAATCATTTACCTCGCGCGTCAGATCCATCTTAATAAACTTTAGAAAATGACGCGCATAGGGAGATTTTACGCCTCATCAGTATTGTACAACGAATGTTTTGTCCCATATTACGCGCGTGATTTCTAGTCCGCTTACCTTTTCTTTCCTTGGTACGATCAGAGCCCGCCCGCTTAAGAGTCACTCCAAACAGTTAAACTTATGGTTTGTTCGAATATCTTGGACGTATCAAGTCATAATTATTTCGCACGAGCGTCTTGTGTCAGAAACTGACAGCGAAATACTTCTCAGGACGATGCTTTCAGACATAACGTCCATGAAACGCTTAATGTTCTGCTTTTCAATAACGCAATTGTACGAGTTATTTGCCGTTCTCTGCACGCCCGTGTCCGCTTTCAGTGTGCATGGCATGTTGGCGACAGCACACGCATGCACACGCACGTGCCTGGGTTTCTCACGTGTCTCGCAAATATTATCACCGTCACAGAGCACCAGGAGTCTTGGGTGCAAGGGAAAAGAGGTGAGAACACAAATACGAGCATAAGGCCGCGCTCACGCTGCGAATACATCATACAAGAGACAGTATGGCTGCAGTCACCGTCTGAGGCGTGGTGAATGGATAGATGGCTGGATGAATCCGGCTGAGCCCTTTGGATCGGGCGGTAGCTTACGCCACCTAGCCACGAAACCTAGCAGTGCTTCTTCCTCGTACGACGGCCCTCTCACGCTGGTTATATAAAAAACAATTCTGCAGACATCTTATAAACACGTAGATGTACGAAGCAAACCTGCTGCGAGCATGGACGAGTCGTGTCCGCAAACAATTCGGTCATTACCGTGTCTTTTGTGTGGTGTATGAGCAGTGTGAATGCGACTTAACAAAAACAACTTGAAAGTAGTTATTCCGAGTCTTTAGTGTCTCCACCACACAGCCATCACCTCACCGATCCCCGGAAAGGGGGAGAGCCAACGCCTCAACAAGCCTGTACAGGCAGGACAGCTCGAAACGCGTGAAGCGACATAACTCCGCCATATGAAGTGCTCCAATCCACTTTCGTCTGCATTTTCTTTTTTTTGTGCCCGGAGGAATTTTGTTGTTGTTTTTACGGATGTTTGGAGCGTCCTCATCACGGGGTTCCGGAAAGCCACTCACACGCTCTCTTGGCTATCCCCAAGGCCCCCGCTGTTGTTCGAGTCTGAGCCTCCCGAAACGAGAAAGGGAAGAATACGAGGGCGAAGGGGCGAAGCCTCTTCGCGCGAGCCGTTCTTGGACGGCCGCACCCCTTCGACTTTCCTCCCGTGGCGACGGCGGCCGCGGGTCGCGGCAGAACAGACAGACAGGCACATCCATTGGCAGCTGAGCTGTGACGTCGAGTCCACCGAGCGCCGACGTCGCAGAAAAGCAGAGAACGCGAGGAGAAAAAGCCATGATGTTGGAATGTTTCATGTCCGAACAGGAGACGGACGGGCGGTCACCAACTTTCACTTCCTATGCCGGAGTTGTGCCAATTCACACGTTTTGAAGCGTCCTGTTTGGACAGGCTTTTAGACAACGAGGCCGTAGCGGAAAACCTTCTACGTCACCTAAAGAGGCAAACGCGGGTCAAGGATTGGGCATGCATCTCAGCTGCGTCAACGTTCGGCTGAGACTCGCCTCCAATCACCGAGGACACGAGTATGAGCCGGACTATGACGCAATACCGGTGTCCAATCCGTTCGCCCCGTTTGGCCTTTTAAGTGACGCAGAAAGTCCACCCCTCAACCTTGTCATTTAAGAGGTGTCGGCAGAGCACCTCACTGCGGTCAAAGAAAGGGGCCCAGGAATAAACCCTTTTCAAAAGTGCGCGCCATCTAGTAGCTGCTGGGCCAACTGTCCGAGTTCGCCATTGCTTGGGCACGTGTTCTGAGCATCCATTAGGCGCGAGGACTACGTCAGCGGTCAGCGTGAACTCGGCTTAGTTCGATTCGAAAACGAGTGCTGAGTCGGCGTTCCGTGAGGGGACTAGGATTCAGTCACACGCTTGGTGCCCAGGAAATGGCGGCCGCCAATGTTACTTGATGGAGTCTTAAAAAGGGTCTACTGCTATCGAGGGACAATCAAAGAATGCAGACCGTTCTGCTGACCCCTCCCCCCCCCCCCCCCCCCCCCCCGCCCCCAACCCCTCTCTCCTCTACAGAAAAAAAAAAAAAAAAGATTGAATTGAAACGGCAATCATTTGAAACGTCAGTGACAACAGATGTGGCGTTTCGGGGTCAAAATGGATTGTCCTCTTCTGAGCTTTCCTGTCAGACCGCAGTGATTGGCTCTTTCCTTTGTGCAGACATGCGGGAATTGTCTATAGCGAAAGTATCCGTTTTAGAAGGTTACTCAGGTGCATAATGGGGGGTAGTTTGTTAGCTAAGCACATGCTTTGAGCGATGGTATCGGAGCTTATGAATTTGTGTGGTCTACCAGCAAAACGCTTGTGTGGCATAAAGCTGTATTGCATGTTTACGGTTTGTTAGGACTGTGCGCAAGTGTCGGACTTTCGTAGCCCCTGGGGCTCAAGAGCATTCCTGGTTCGATGAGCGAATCCTCGGGAGTTGGAGTAGTAACGTATGTCTTAAGAAATGTACTTGAATTAAGCTTCAGCGAAGCGCTTAGTGACTCAAATTCACGAAAACAAAACAACTTATTGTCATGGAAGTTAATTCGTTTTAAAATAAAGCTCAAGAGCAAGCGATGCTCAGAAAATGATCGGAGAACAAAACAACATTCACAATGAGCTTTCGATGAGCCTGCCTCGCATTTAGTTTCTCCTGAAGCTCACTTCATTTTGCTAAACATATCTTTTGCCGCTCTTTTGGCCTTATGTCCTAAACGTCGTTCGAACCCACTTTAAGATGACTGCACCCTAGACATGAGAAGTGTACTTTACAAGTGAGAAGTGTGAGACATCCGGAGAACATAAACCTAGAAATAAGTTTTCACACACCCTTGATTCGTGAACATGCTACTCCTTCACACTCCCTCACTTACAAGGACACTTATAAGAACACCTGCAGTTACACAGATGCCCGGCGTATGGTTCCTGACGAGGACATAACATTTTGAATTTATTTATGTAATTAAAGTACTCTCAAACTACTTAAATGCCCAAATAGGGTTGCACGTACACATAGTCTATAACAATAAAAAAAAATAATGCTTACAGCCTAATGAGCAATTATGGATCGCACACATTTTGATAAACATTTTAATGAGCATAAAAATCCATATAAGAGTTATTTGACTAATCATATAGAAGTTACATAGGAATCATGGGTCTATTATCAATTAAATGAATAAAATGAAATTCGTGTGGAGAATAAACGTGTAACGCCGTATTTAACTCGATCTTGCATCGCCTATATTTAAGCCGTATATTTTCCAGTGTTTCTTCATAAAAAATCGGTCTGTTTTTCAGCGTTTATTATCCTTTTTAAATATCGGTGTATTTAGTTTGTTTTCGACGGACACTGGAAACAATGATTTTAGGTTGAAACCTTTAAATAAAAATGATATATTGAAGAGTAGGAGCGGTAGGTTTTGCCAAGAAAGTCCAAACTGGAGCGAAAATTGTCAAACATCGGCGTTTTTCGGTTTTCGTCCATTTTGTATTTTTGACACCAATGTTTTTCATAGGCAAGTTTTGGTTTTAACCGCTTTTGTATATTTGACACCACCTGTTGTTTCTCGATATTTTTCGATCTTAGCCGATTTTGTATTTTTCGCGCGAAGTGTCGCTTATCGCCGTGTCTCGGTTTCAACTGATTTTGTATTGTTGACAACGACAAATGTTTATCGGTGTTTTTCGGTTAAAACCGAACAGGACACGGCCTACCTATACTCTGTCTTACTAACCAACCGGCTCTCGCCCTCAAACGTAAAAAAAGAAAAAAGAAAACTGATACGACAGTTTTAAGATAGCGCAAAAGTACGGGACAAAAGTAGCGCCGTTTTAATAATGTCGTTCAACAACGAACTAACCGAGCAACGCACTCTTTCCTAACCGATAATGGTGTCATGTGGAGCGAACTGACGTCCATTTCGCTCTGGGTCCGACCTGACAGCGAGCCAAGAAGCCGACCGGGAGCAGCAAAGAGACCGGGACAGCGCCAGCGGGGACGTGGTCGTGCCATCCTGGTGGACGGCCAAAAGGTACGCCATTACCCGCGAGCCGGCCCAGAGAAGTCACCAAGGGGACGGGCCGGCCGCCACTCGGTTTCCCTTGAAGCGCGACTGCAGCTATAGAGCGCTACGGTCAACGTTGCTACAGCGTTACTTCAACATTAAGTTACCTTTATCTCGAAAACCATAAGTACATATTTTAATTGTTTTCCGAGCCTCCCTATTCAGTATTGTAACGACGGTGCGCTGCCAGTAAAACGCTAAAGTACCTTTCTTGAAATAATTTGCGGGAACTAAATAGAGGGATCTGGGAAAAGCTTACCATCGTTGTAGTGACTATACCATTAAAACTTGTCTCGCGACAATTTTTTTTTTCTTCGCGAGCAACAAGAGTTTAAAATGCACAGCATGGAGCAGACAATTGTTTTCTTCTTTTGAAAGCCAGCTTTTTGATAAGCAAGTTCCGACACGACAAATTCCTGGCTTAAAACCGGCTTTGGAGCTTGTAATTAGAGTTGGCGCTTACTTATTCATGAAACTAAAGCTCGATTGTAGGCGAGCTGGTTCACGAATGACATTGTAAGCCTATAGCGAGAAAAGGAGGACAAAGTGAAGTCAAAATACAAAACTAAATCTGCGATCTTTCTTTATAAATGTCTCGTGCGTGCGTTTAGACAACGAGAAATTAGTGAGCCTCGACGGTGTCTGCCGTCTGGTCTCTCCAGTGTAGATGAGAAGTTTAGCCTGTGCACTACCATCGCTAGCATAAGGTCTTTAGCCTGCTTCACTCAGTAGCGATTGCACGAACATACTCCGGTACGACGCTAAAGGCTTGTTCACACAGACCCGTTTTCTTACGTTACGTTACGAAATCTTCTGTCCAAGAAATCCGGGAGCTCTGTGCTTCGTATTAAGCGTGGCTACCAATTCAAGGAGGTACCCTGCCACGTGACATTCTAAACACGAATGTTTGGGTGACGACGAGTTAGGACGGTGAGTTACCGTGGCAATGAAGAACACAAGGCTCGTTGGAACGTAACGTGAGGATTTGAGCTCGGTTCCACTTTTTACACAGCACCGCTTTCTTACGTTACGTTCGTGTCTCGAATATCGCGTGCCAGGCTCTCTCCTTGAATTGGTAGCCACGCTTAATACGAAGCACAGATTTCCCGGTGGCTTGTACGTAAGCTTACGTAACCTAACGTAAGGAATCGGGGCTGTGTGAACCGGTCTTTAGCCAGATCGAAATGGGCAGGAGTGGATATTGAACCCGGGATCCCTGCACTCTGCAGCGCGAGCAATCACATCGCGCGTTCCGAGCCGCAGTGCGTTAACATACACGGCTACCGATCCTTCTCGTTGTACATAGTTTGAATCAACTACCATTAGAGTCATTACACACACCACAGCGCACTATAGCAAACAACACTCACACCTTACACACGAAAAATAAAGCAACATTCAAACAAACCGCGCTGACTGACAACTCTTTTTATATAACTTTGTCTCGTTCAACCCTCTAGCACCACCGAATTTCCCATATCACGCGCAGATGCCTAAAATTTTTTTCTCTTTTTCTGTCAGGTGTAAAGATGGTGTGCTAATACAGTTGTAATAATTCCTGGGGATATCTTCTGCTTCGATAATTTCTCGAGTTAATTGGTTACTGTTCCTACCTAAAATAGTACAGGATGGCAGGTGAACGTCGCACCCACAATCCCGGCAGTGTATGCTTAGATGCCCTGAGTTGGCTCTGGTGCTGCCATCCTGTACTATTTTAGGTAGGAATAGTAACCAATTAACTCGAGAAATTATCGAAGCAGAACATAACGCCAGGAATTATAACAACTGTATTAGCACACCTTCTTTATACTTGACAGAAAAAGAGAAAAACATTTTAGGCATCTAGGAGATCGGTGCGAGTGATTTGGGAAATTCGGTGGTGCTAGAGGTTGAAGAAGACAAAGTTATTTAAAAAGAGTTGTCAGTTAGCGCGCTTTGTTTGAATTTTGCTTTATTTTTCGTGTGTAAGGTGTGAGTGTTGTTTGCTATAGTGGGCTGTGGTGTGTGTAATAATGTGCAACCAACTCGCCCAAGCTGCTAGGTTACCATTAGAGAGCTTTAGTAGATCGTGTTTTGAGGCCACGCTATTTGCAGCGGGAGCTCGCGCTGCCACTTCGATGCATGCTCTAAAGCGCGCACCCGTGGCGGTAGCGGGCCTTTGAAAACTAGAGAGTTTTAGTAGATCGTTCCGATACCTCCGATAGCCCCGATAACGATACTATGCATGCGCAAGGGAGGCGGTGGCGGAGTATCGGGATATCGTTATCGGAGTCATGGGAACGATCTACTAAAACTCTCTACTATCTACTAAAACTCCCTATTAACGACTAAGCGTTCGCTTCTAGTGACTGCTTTTTCCTTTTTCTCTTCGTTTATTGGCCCTATTTTTTTTTCATTATGAATTTTTAAACGTACATTTACTGGAGGGAGGATACAGGGTGTCCTCTCAAAGAAAATTACAAAATTTGTTTACACCGTAAAGATACACTGTACATCGCCGAACGCTATTTTTTCCGCCAAAATGTGGCATTAGTGGTCTGTACCAGATGCTAAGGTTTCAGGACTAAGCGCTCTCTTATAAAAAAAAAACAACTACAAGTTATCTTTTCCTTCTTTTTTTTTATGTCAATGGGAACATTTTTTTGTGTATCCCTCGAATACATAAAGGTGATGGTGCCAGTTACCGAAAACGGGTCAAATCTTCATATTGATATTTTCAGAAAATCACGTATGACTTTTTCAGTGAGAGAACGGTTAGTTATGGAACATTGTCATCTGGTGCGGTCCGCTAGAGCTACATTTGTACGAAGATCGACCGTTGGGCGTTGCGTAATTTATTGTGGCGGCAAAGAAAAACAACATGTAGAGGAAATGGAGGAGAAGGGGGTGAGGGGACCCGCTGTGGTTCCCTGATGGAACCGGGGTTCCTGTAGCAATAAAGTTAAGCGCGCAGATGCTGGCGCCCAAATGATTACGTGACCCGGTTCCTCCATCGCACATACCCGATTTGCTCCGGCCCGGCCAATCGAATGACTTGCTGTGCTCGATAATGACCAACTTTCTAAGGCCTACTATTTTTGTACGCATTTCAAAAGCGTGGAAAAATCATGCTTAAAAAATCAAATAAATAGGATTGATTTGATATAAATCAGATTTATTGGATCTAAATAATGGTAGCTTAAAATTAGTGACCCTTAGCATTACATGTATCTTTAACCATGGGAGATTGATTGATCAAGCTCTGCGATTACTGATAAGACTGCGGAAGAAATAATTACAATAAATTTAACGAACAGTTTCATTAACAATTTTTTATTGATGTGACCCCAACCATACTAGAACAAAAACATTTGGATTTTTCTAATTGGCCAAAAAGACTTATTTGCTTTTTTTCTTCGCGTTCTGAGTTTTTCGCAATAAGACACTAACTTTCTAGTTTTTGTTTCTTTCTTTCGCGGTCTAATTTACTCGCAATAGGACGTTACATGACTTACGAACAACGTGAAAGATAGAAATAAATCTCTGTGATTCGATTTGCACAGAAGAGCGACGCTTTGCCATTTTCTTGAACCACCTGAGACTGGGTGGAGAACGAGAACCAAAAGTGCAAGGGACAGGAACAGAAATCTTCCTGGCTCGATCATTTTTTTTAAAATTAATACGAAACAATTGCACATAAAAAGCATCGAACGATAGACAGAGGGTAAATAAAAAAGACTATTTATATTACGATAATTGTTGTTGTTTCTCTTCTCCGCCCTGGGTTTCAGCAAGCAGCTGAGTCGGACGAACCGGCGTCTCCGTCGGGCGTGCCGCAAGGGCGTCAAGTCGCAGGCCTTCTACTGGATCGTCATCGTGCTCGTGTTCCTGAACACGCTCACGCTCGCCTCAGAGCACCACAAGCAGCCGCCCTGGCTTGACCACTTCCAAGGTGACGCCCGCCCTCCTCCCCGGCACCTCTTCCGGCAGGGCCTGAACTCCGACGTCACACCGACGTCACCTACCGACGTCACACCGCAGCGGTGGCGCTGCTGTTGCTGTTGGCACTGCGCATGCGCAGATGCTTCCTCTCGCGCAAACCTGATTTCTGCGCGCGCGCACTGCCCCACCTGGTGTGGGCGAACGCGGGCGCATTTTTAGGCGGCGTGCAGATTGATATGTAGTACTCTCTTCCAAGTATAACACGCATGCTGCAAAAGCGTAGCGGCGGCTAAAGGAAACAGGGAGGAAGAAAGGCAATTAAAAGGTTACTGTTTAACTGGGTTTATCTGCCTGTTTTTTTTTTTTTTTTCCCCTTTCAAACTTTTTGATTTCGTGGTTCTTGCATGAGGTGATCGATTTCCAAATATATCCAATATCTTCTTTCATTTCCTTGAGCGCCTGAGCAAAATCTTAGGTACTCATTCTTTCATTTTATGCAAACATTTCGTTTCAACAAAGACAAATATTTCATAAGGTGTCACAAAATTCTGTTTGAATGTTCTTTTCTTTTTCTAATGTCGTCTTTTTCATACTGGAGTCGGAAAGATGTTTCTAGGTACATTCTGGCAACTAAAGGTCTATTACACACTGCAACGCTTCGTCCCATTTTCTTTGCTTCCGCATTCAGCCCATACGATAAGAATATGTTCCAAACAAACCCATAAATAAAATAAAATACTACCAGCCCTGTCTGCGTAGTTGACGCAGCACTGGATGGGATTCGCTTCAATTGCAGGAATTCAACACTTTAGGAACTCAACTTTCCTGTGATCTAGCATTACTAGCACGTGCTGGACATCCACTTCACATGGTTGACTTTTAGGCACCACCCCCCCCCCCCATCACCAGACATAATATACATACATTCATTCAAAGACGTGTCTCCATGCTTTAGTCATGTTCCATTCCCTAACACACCACTCGCGTTACTGTTCAAAACACGCAGCGCTTCAGCAGCAGCATTAGCGTCATAATTGATATTAATGCGACATTAATTGATATTAGTGCAACTGCAGAAATCATAGGGGCTACCTTGTCGCATAGGCGGAATGTCACAGATGTGGCGGCAATGTTTATCATGTTGCAGAAGGTCGCCGATCGTGCAAATTCTTAGCCTAGCTGGCACATGACTTAGACCAGTCAAGCACTGATTTCAACTGTACGGCCCAATATTTTTTCCTTTGGCTGAATTGGACGCTTCAAGCAGTTTCGTGCCTAATGCCGTTGTCACACTGCTCATGCGTTATACAAAATACAGTGTTCGCTCCAGACATGATGGCACATGCGGGCACGCCTCATGCATCTTCAAAGCATGTTTGCTTCATGCATGCTTCGGAGATGTCGGCAGACAGTTTTTGTATGACCAGTGTGACCTTCATGTGTGGAAAAAACACTTCTCGTGTCTGCATACTGTTATTTATAGCAGTGTGACGGCGGCACATGGGCACAACAACATTCCTTCCGCATTGCGTGAAGGTATACAAGATTGTTTACGAGCTTCCCTTACCGTTCAACGCAGACGTGGCGAACATGTTCTTCGTTCTGCTCTTCACGCTGGAGATGCTGCTGAAGCTGTACAGCCTGGGATTCCAGGGCTACTTCGTGTCCCTGTTCAACCGCTTCGACTGCTTCGTCGTCATTAGCTCCATCCTGGAGACGGTCTTCACCTACACGGACATCATGCCGCCGCTCGGTGTGTCGGTGCTGCGATGCGTCCGTTTGCTGCGCATCTTCAAGGTCACCAAGTGCGCACCTTGACCGTCTACCGTGCCTATGCCTGTCACACGAGGATATGAAACAGTCATGCCCATGGTGGAAAAAGAGAGAAGTCTGTGCCTTGGGCGCAGGCGCGTTCTCGCGCGTCTCCTCGATTGACTCTCATTGGCCCCTTTCATGCTGCGCCATCTCGCGGTGCTTGTCAGATATGCGAGCAAACCTTCGCCACACTTGCTCCGTAGCAAGGCGGTGCCGTTCGGACACCTCTCTCTCTTCTTCCACCGTTTTAAAGCATCTTCCTCTTTACTTCAGCTCTGATACAGCGAACATACTTTTTTCTTTGTTCGTGTTTTTGACACAGCGCTCGGCTGGGGCTCGTAGTCAATGAGCTCTTGAAAGATACGCTCGTATCCAATTTGTGCCCCGCGTTCGATCGATGGAAATGACGTCAATATTCCAGATTAAAGGCCTTGTGCTGTGCAAGCCTGCAGGATGGATGAATGGTTGGATGCTTAGAGCTGAACCCTTTAAATTAGCCAGCGGCTCGCTGCATCTGCCCACTGTTTTTAATAACAAATAACCCTCGCTTAATATACAAAACATTGAGGTTTTCATGCCTTTTCATGCCGATGTCGCTGCTGCAGGTACTGGGCATCGCTGCGCAACCTGGTGGCGTCGCTGATCAACTCGATGCGCTCCATCGCCAGCTTGTTGCTGCTGCTGTCTCTGTTCATCGTGATCTTCGCCCTGCTCGGCATGCAGGTGTTCGGCGGGAGGTTCAACTTCCGGCCGACAGAGGACAAGCCGCGCAGCAACTTCGACACCTTCTGGCAGGCCCTTCTTACCGTCTTCCAGGTAATCCTCACAGGTCGGCCAACACCTCCCGTATAACAAGGCCTCAGTGCTGACGTTACTTGTCGTAGGCCAGCACGGCGCACAGAATAAACGCCAGTGCTACGTTATAGTTTGGCTAGAACTCGAGTTCAATAAGTGAGGATCCTGGTCTAAAATATCTATAGGTATGAACACCGCGAGCGTCGCAGCTGCCAGATAAAGTCCTCCCCTCGCCTTGGTTACTAGCGGCGCCACCAGATGGAGTCTCGATGTGTGGCTAAAGACAGCCTATCGCAGGCCCGGCTTCCCGCGTTTGTTTATGGGAGACACACTTGTTTTTGAAGTTGTTTTTAAGATGCGACACGTCATGTATAGAACGTGGGATTTGCTGTACGCATGTTGCTTGGACACTGCTTCGTCACTGAGCCCAGATTCGTGTCTCAACGTCGGCAAGAAGTCTTATGAACGCGTTGAAGCGGAGAAATATCTGGCGTGGGTGTTCAAGCCGGCGTCCTTCAATGTCAGAGCTGACGCTCGGAGCGAAAAGAGCGTGCGCCCGGGTGTCATGGGAACCAGACACTTTTCTTCCCTGTTGCGCCGCTTGGATGGCGGAGATGCTGTCGGCTGAGGCTACTCCTGTACGCGCCAAGAGAACTTTACCTGGTCGATTGCGTCGCAGCATTCGCCGAGCTGCGCGTCCTCGCCTGTATATAGATATCTTACACCGTGGTGAGGGAAAAACTTCTAGCTCAACGCTGACCTATCCCTCCTCTCCAATGTGCGCCCCGAGCTGGCCACCCCATTATGACGCAGAGTCCAGCAGTATGGCCTTGACGTCCAGGAGGAGTTCAATTCGCCCAGGGTCGCCCAACTCCTCTAAGTCCGGGAGACATTCACCCAGCTCACGGTTTGCAACACTTAACGCCGACAGTTTAAGAGTTGGAGGACGCATACGCCATCGAGTCCCTTGTAGCTGCAACTAGTTCTGAAAAAGCTAGTCCAGATTGTCTACGGCAAACTGCTGATTTATTTTAAAAATTCTTCGTCCGTGCGCTTTATGGACAGCTTTATACGGGCTTTATTAATTTTTTTAACGTAAACGATGACAAAAAAAAACGAAAAAAATAAGCAATTTGACATTTTACCAGAGACAATAGTTCTCAATAATGAACTTCAGCTTTCATTTTGCAAACATTTGAAATTTCAAGCAATATTAGCTCGATAGATGGGTAGCGGGGTCCTCTATTTTCACAACCCAGCAACTCTATTCCCCACAGAGATAGGTCATGGCGAGTTCGTTTCTCACGCAACCGCGGAAGTTCCCTCCAGAATGCATCGCATCTTCGGAGTGCCGCTTTTTATTTTTATTATGATAACGGTTATTTAGATGGGTAAATAGGAGTTGTACAGATCATATTTGAAGCGTCTCAATGGCGTGCCTACACAGCAAGTTCACAGCGTCCCAGCCGAACTTATTGGGCATCTGAGAAAGGGTTCATACACACACACACAAAACAAAAAAAAAAAAGGAAAGGACTAGGCTTCACGCTTAGGCGTTACTACTGCTTTTGCAGGTGCGACTTCCAGGTCGCCCTGTACTCAGTCTGGCTGTGAAGTGGCCTGTATTAGGAAGTCAACGTACATAAAGCCTTCGATGAAGTGCCGCGCCCGCGATCAAAGTGCCGCGCAAAAAACCCGACCCGAACGAACTTGCCGAGTGCAGAGTGTTGTAGAAAGAGTACCGACCTCCAAACCGAAAATAGCGTCCTGCTGTTCGACATGACAGGCGGGAACGCGAAGCAGTTTAGTCGCTGCAATGTCTATATTCGCGTTAACTTAAAGAGCTCAATTTTCGTAGCGATATTTACAGACGACGTATGTTTCCGCCACAAGCTGATAACAAAATTGTAAAAAAATAACAAAAAGTGAGCAACCTTTCAAATTGTTTCCACCATAGAAAACACAGTTGATACTATTCACGCAGAAGCTTGATAAATTTTAAGCGTGAACTAGTTCGTTGGAATCTAAAGCGATAGCTTTCGCGGCACCTTTGGTTTCTATTATTGGTCGAATACAGCTGTGTTAGCTTTTATTTCTAATGAGAGCGGTGAGATCGAGAGCCTTGACGAACAAAAGAGTGAGGGTGCAAAGTAAATGGTGGATGTGAATGTTATACATGGCGATTTTAACCAAACCTCGGTTAAAATCACCAAGTTTATCTTTATCGGCAGCTGATTAGACGCGTCATAGGTTCTGCTGGGCGAGCTTTCTCGGCAAATGTTGTCCACTCGTAAGTCCACCGCTGCTGCGTTTATCCCTAGCTTTTTTACTCATCGGTAGATTTCAGCGGCTGTGCGGCAACAAAACGACTCAAAACTTGTAAAAGTATAGGTTGTCGATTCCTTCCTTCATGATATAGCAGAAAGTAACAATTCAAGTTCTCGTTCGACCCCGTCTCTCACGGGACGCGATTTCTAACAAAAAACCTACTTCTATTTCTTTTATTTATTTTTTTTTTTTTTTTACGGTTCCGCGTTGTGCGGATGGAAGATCGTAGATCATTAGCGCATGACTCCCCGTCGTCTGCTCTTGCACCTCGCCTGCATCGCCTGAGCGATGCACGGCGGGATTGCATTCTGGCGCACGCTCGATTCTCTCGGCGCAGCGAGTGCATGCACGCGTGGAGTGCCGGCGCCGAAACGAACTCAGAAAGTGCAGCCACTCGCGCACGGTCATTCTCACACGCACACGAAAGCGCATATAGTTCTTACGCAGAAATTGTACGCTACGACATTGCAATCAAATCAGATCAAATCAAATCAAAAATTGTATTCAAGCAATCGACGATGACTGCGCTTTTTCTTTGCAGATACTAACGGGCGAAGACTGGAACGTGGTGATGTACCACGGAATCAATGCCTTCGGTGGAGTCGGCTCTTCCGGAGTGTTGGCGTGTGTTTACTTTATCATACTTTTCATCTGTGGTAACTGTATCCTTTCCCTTCCTTTGTGGAACTACTTTTCGGCAGGATACTGACTGCATATCAATATGACAAAAAGCTATCCTTTGGACGCACCACAGTCAATTAAATGGCAACTCCGGTCAAGAACGAAACAAAAATAAATGACTAGTATCGCTTTAGGGGTACGAAATAGTCACAGCGGAAATATTACGTCATAACGAAGCCGCGTATTCCACTAAAACCGATTTTAAAGATGGGACTAGGTGATCTTTAGCGGGTGGCAAGAGGGCTAGCTTTTAGTCAAGGAACACGGGCGACACGTTCAGAAGCGTCCCCGTGACTATGGTGCCTGGAACGCGTCTCCGACTGGTGTGCTTACCGCGGCCAAAAAAGTGGTCCCTCGATGTCCGCCTGATGACGTCATGAGAAGTGTCATGCTGTCGCCGGTCGCGATCCTGGCGGCGCTCCAACAGCTGTGGTGTATGTGGCAGACGCCTGTTCTGCTGCAGGTCGCTCTCCACTGTGACAGTCCACGGAAGCTACAGCAGCTGGAAGTTGGGACGCCTGGGACGCCGTGACAACAGCGACACTCGCGTTCGCTCGTGCTTTTCACCAGCATTTTTACGGCCAACCACCAGGATCGCGGCAGGCAACAGCATGACACTCCGGCTCCGGTGACGTCATTTGTTGCCACTTCGGGACCACTTTTGATGTATGGGCGGGATAGGACGCTAAACACACCAGTCAGAGACGCGATCCAGGCACGTCGCGGCCGTAGAGCTGACTATCAGGTTGCCATCCATCTAGTAGATAGTTTCGGTTTTGCCGCAGACACCCAAAACCAAACTTTGAATAGTGATTTTTATTAAGCTACGCACAATATCGATAGAAAAGAATGTGTATCTTGTCATTCAGGGACACTGACTGAGTTCAAAAGAGTCGTAATCTCTAATTGAAAATGTTGACCGGAGCTGCCCTTTAAGCATATTGTCCTTAATAGTGATCGGCAACTCTCGCACGGCGTTGCTATTCCATTTTGATTGCAGAATGCATTCTAATAGAGGCAAAAATAAGATTTCGGTCACGTCGCCATACTGAGCCGTTGTCAGTTAAATCATTGACTAATGTCCTGCTAAACTCGGTGGACTGACGTCCTGCTAAAGTTAGCGTAACACCATTATGATTAAAAGGCAACTAAATGCAAAGGTGCAAGCGAGCTGGACAAGATGACGAAAATAATCCCTGGAGAAGGGGAACAAGAGGGATAGAGGACAAAGACAAATTTTCAAATACAGCTGTGTTTGGAGATTTGTGTTTGTTCTTTGTCCCTCTTGTTCCCCTTCCCCAGAGATTATTTTCGTCACACCGTTGTGGATCAATAATGCGCGTCTCCTTGCGTCGCGGCTAGCCTTGCGTCTCCAACCCACTCTGCATATTTTGATATAATTCAAATCAAAAGAGTGCCTTAGTTTCAGCTTTCTTTTTTTAAATAAAATGTGACCAAGGCCCGCAGGGAAAACTGATATAGCAGTGCATTTTTTTTTTAGCCACGTTGAAAGCTTAGCAATATTTTGGGGCAATATGTTCCCTGGGGAAGTGCTTATACCTGGTTTTGATTGGCCAGTTTCTGACGATAGTTTATGCCATAGCCTCCTCTATACTGACAAAGCCTGGCAGGTCGCCACGAGACGCGGCCGCCGCAAGTGAAAAGGTAGACGGCAGACAAGAGGCATGTAACGGGCGCCCCGCTGCGGCGAGACGCAGAAACACACTTGTCCCGAGTGATGGAATGTTCGCTCGTGCTCCTCGCGTTGCTTAGGCTATTGCTTCTTTCCTTGTGGGATTGAAAAACCATGTTTCGGGTCCTCGCCGCTGCAAAAGCTGTGCGCTGACTACAGGTTCCCCGAGAAATGCTCTGAGCTACCAGATCCTCGCGCTCTAAATCTGCGACCGGGCTCTCTATGGCTCCGTCATTGAACTGCCAGGCCTTGTGAGTATAGAGGAGGCTATGTTTATGCCCACCGTTTGTGAATGTTCACGGTATTCCGTAACCCTTGACTGAGACGGTTAATGCCAGACATTCTGCTCAATGTGTTCTTGGCCATTGCTGTGGACAACCTGGCTGACGCTGAGAGTCTCACTGCCATCGAAAAGGTGAGTCGCGCCTGATGGAAACACATCCCGTACAAAATACGGGCTTTTCTTCATACTTATCACATCTAACTTCTACATTGCGCTTATTATTCGGCTGGATATTATTTGGAGAACACGTAGCTCGGTGTAGCAGTCTTCGCTAACCCGAATAATAATAATAAAAACATATATATATATATTTTTTTTTTAAGTTGGGCGCGGACGGATCAGAAGTATGAAAATTTTGTGCGTCGGTTTTGTCCTTTCGCGTCTCTTTCGTAACTATTTTTGCGACCTAAATTAATGTTTTAGGCGTCTTCCGCATAGAAAACAACCTAGGCGCATTCCAAAATCTTTCTTAAAGTGGCACGCAAGATCGGACCAGTACTTACTGACGGTTTGCTTATTGGGGCATTCATCAGCCAGTGTTGGTCCGGTTATCAACTTGTTACGCGGCTCGCATCTGTTACAGAAAAGTGAAGAGACTTCATTACGACTAACTACAGAATCAACAAGCCTGGAGCTGTGTACAGAATTCTTTCCATCGCTCCTACAGGGCGGTTCAGACCAACACTTCTTAGGTACCAAGGCCGGGGTGCTGGATTTATGACGTCACCTACCGAAGGCCAGCGCGAGGTACCGATTGGAAACGAGGGCCGCGTCAGCGTTCGGTCAAGATTCGTGTTCTCACCGATTGGGCACGAGTCCCGGCCGACCGGTGACGCAGCACTCGTGGGCAATGGATTCCCGCGCTGGCCTTTGGTAGGTGACGTCATAAACACAGTACTCCGGCCTTGGTTGGTACCTTCGAGATATTGTCGAGTTCCGACAGTGGTGCGCCTCTCCCCTGCAGGAGGAAGAGGAAGAGGAGGAGGAAGAGGAAGAAGGAGGCGAGGAGGCGAAGCCCAGTAAAAAGAGGAGGCGACGGAAGAAGCGGCGACGGAGGCGTCCCAAGGAGCCCGAGGAAGCCGGGCCCGAGGACGCCGAAAAGCCCGAGCTGAGGGCCACGGACGCCGGACACATGAACCACGCGCCCCTCATCAGGATGTAAGCGCACCTGTCCACTGAAACCACAACAACTCTTTTATCATCATTACCTTTACGGGAGGCCCGACAGCGCCTGCGGTCGGCCCCGCAATGAGGATCGGCGTTCCCCTTACTCTTACAGGCCTACTTTCTTTTTGGGCAATTACATCGGGCTAAGCTCACAGCGGGGTACGTAACGCTCTACACAAGTTTATTACCGCGTCCGGACGGTTACTCTTTTTTTAGGCTTCCCGCACTCAGCGACTACCTACAGCTTCGACATTCAGAATGAACGAAAAATACCACGTGATCCAACCGTTCAGATCCTTGGTCAATCCCTTCTCCGGGCCAAAAAAGACTTGCAGAAACAAGATCGTTACGAACGTGACCGGACCTAAAGTCCCAAGCATGTTCTGAGCATGTTCGTTACATGTCTAGGGTTGCTCTAAACTCCAAGTTAAACTGGTCTGAAACGATTAATAAGTATCTTTATTCAATTAAGACGAGAAGCAGTCTTCGTAGTCCCGTGCCGTTCTCTTGTCAAGTCTGTCTGCGAAGTCACTCTGGTGGCGCCGTATTCTCTCGTACCCTCGTGCGTACGGGTTACCTCGCTGCGGCGTGAACTGGTGAAATCACAAAAAAAGGAGTTTTGGCGGTGCGATGGTGAGCCATCAGATTATTATATGTTATGCAACCTGGATATTGCGCGGAACTCATGCAAGCGTGCGGCAAGTGTCGCCGATGACGCGGAACCCTGATCGGGTATCGTAATCCGATGCTCTCACGAGCCGACGGAGTTGAGCGGAGAAATGTTCTCTCAGGAGCCGCTGTGTGTTGGTACGTGCGTGACCACATAGGCTTTGAACATGCCTGTGGAGAGTTGTTAAAGCGGTAGTTTTATAGGCCCAGCCACGCTCAAGGTCGCGTAATCAAGGTCACGAAACACCCGTGGCTGAAGTGCTCGTGGTTGAAGCGATGGTGGCTGAAGCGCTCGTGACTGAAGGGATAATGGCTGAAGTGTACGTGTGTGAAGCGCAGGTGGCTGAAAAGAAAACGTCAGGCGAAGCTGACGCTATGTTTACACTACAGACACCATGCACGCGCCCATCTTTGATAACATGCGCAAACCTAAGCGCAAGAGGTGAACCGATTTTGTTCAGGATACAAGCCATCATGGTCTCAACGAACTCGTTCCGCTCTTTGCGCTTAGGTTCACGTTTCTTATAAAAAAAACTGCTCGTTGCGTCCGCAGTGTGAACATAGCATAACACGTCATATTTCTCGCCATTGTTTGCTTACACATGCTTTTGTACATTTGAGCGCCAACAAACATAGACCGAGTGAACGACGACGGCAATACAAGGTGCCATTGCATTGTCGTCACGGTTGTCGGGTTTCAGCATTCAATATGGCGGTTGCATGTTCCCCATGATAACACCGCCCTAAACACCCTGACTCGTTAGGTGACTACAACTATAGTAATGACCCAGTGCTGACTAAAAACAAGAGAGAAACAAAAACCTTGTGGTCTTATGTTGAATGAAGATGTCACACATACGACCGGAAAAAAATGTATACATATTTAACAAAATTAAAAACCGAAAAAGTATTCTTAAAGGCCGACGACCAGACTCAAGATTCTGCAAGGCAGAAGATCCTCCTCACTATGGGGGAGGAGGAAAGAGGCAACGGTAGACAGCGTAGAAAGGGGGAGAGGAGGAAGCGGGGAAAAGGGGAAAGCGTGAACTGGTGGTCGGTCTTTAAGCAAAAATAAAAAAACGGAAACGCTAAGCCTTAGTTATAAACATTTTCATGGCAACTAATAGTAGTCGTCATCACAATCCCAGTAATCAGAATGGCTATTACTGACGAGGAGTTTCATAAGACACCTTTGTTAGGCTTAGTTCGTTAGCTAATTAACTCGCGTTTTCTGAATGTGCGCAAACACGTGACAAGTATACTTGAATGTTTGGCCCAGCACGTGCGAATGTACGTGGTTCACAATTGTTTCACTCTGCTTGTAGAAGTGCGTAACACACAGATCCAACATCATTTCATGAATGTTTAACGTACCTCTCCCTCTCTCTTAAAGGGGCCGTGGGACAATATTGCGCCTTAATGTTCCACACGTCACGCAGGCATACAAAGTGACAAAAGTATACTCGCACGCGAAGTCACTGAGCCGCGAACTCCTTTGTCGCGGTGTACTATTCCGAGGATAGAGACGGTCTAGTTTTTTCAGTTTCACCTTCAGAAAACTCGCTACCGCACTCTGTGTAGGGTTCAGGATGTTGACGTAGTCGCAAGGATCACCCTAGGTCAGTGATAGTGAAATGCAGTACATTGATTGGTCACAAGCGTTGCGTGAGCAGTTGACTTAACTCGATTACGATCAATGCTTTCGTAGACATTCGGGTCGGGGCTTGTGTTCAACGACTGCTGTGACGGAAATAGCCGACGATGTTCGGAGAACTGCGCAGGCCTTTCGTATTGTCAACCCCAGTGCGCGGCCACAATGAACATCGGTGGCCTATTATTGGCATCAAATAACGTGACCATTAAATCTGGCTGCGAGTTGACAATAGTTAAGGAGGTGAACGCGGCTCATTTTTCTTTATGCGGAGTGAAAGTTCGTCTGCCTTCTTTGCGGAGGTTGTGGTGACGTCACAATGCCTAACACTGATTCTACCCACTATCCTTCAATCAGAGCCAATCAGAGCTTGGAGTTCTGACGTCATCAAAACCCTACCAAAAGAAGCAGACAAGCTGGCGCTTGGCATTGTTTTTTTTTTTTTTTTTAGGAAAAGGCCAGCGCACGTTTAGCAAGTTATTGATCGTCAAAGATTCATTATGAGCAGTATTTATCGAAGGTGATAAATTTGTTTTATGCCCCCCTTGAAAGTACTATAAAATAATATTGGGTCCGCATATAATTGACTGCATGTCACTTAGCAGTTCACAGGAGAATTACCACACGAGAACAAGAAAACAGAATTGTAATTTCCACAGTGAAATTTTTTGGTTAGGATAAAAAAAAAAATTATTTCGCCTCTTAAAAAAAAAAAAAAAGCTTGATTTTTTGTGAATATATCGGATTCAAATAATGCTGGGCGCATCAAAATTGAATGCGACATGGGGATGGGACACGAGCAGGCTGTACCAGTCGGCTTCCGTCTCGGCGAGCATTCGCCAGTTCGACAAAATTCGCCGAACCTTAAAAGTGTCCGAAGAATAGCTCGAGCTTTCGGAATCGCCAACCCAGACGCGTGATTCTGATTAGTGCTGATGACATCTGATGGAACAGAAACCTAACAGCTTTTTTAAGCCGCAAGAAAAGCAATTTTCTTCCATGTCTTCCGTATAAGATAAAGCTTGGAGCTACCAACGAACGCATTTTTCGTAGAATATGAAAGTCGGTGATTCTGGTAAGCGATATTTATCAAAATAAATAAAAAAACAAATGGTAGATGCCTAAGAAAAAAAAAAAGCAATCAAACTCATGATTTTTAAAAAATTGCTTTGCCTATGCGAGCGCGAGTGCAACAAAGCGTGGTAAAAGGCAAGTTGGTTTTGCATGATATTGATTAAACTGCCCTGCCATGTTATACATTAAACGGAGCTGAGAAACAAAAATGGGCAAACACATGTATTTGCTTGTGAAGCCTTTTGCAATGCTACACTCTCGCGCCCGCACGTTTGATGATGTAAGCAGTCTGTGAGACTCTATAATTTTTTCACGGTTAATTTGACACGATGAATTTGTGCTCTTTTCAGATCCAAGGAGAAGTTAGACAAAGTAAGTCGGTTTCATCAAACCCTCCCGTCTGCTAGCTTTCTTAGCGCATTGCAAAGTCGACCACTTCGTTGTCGCCATAATCACGTCGCAATAATTTTTTTTTACGGCTGGCGCTAGCAACATTAAAATCAATAAAGGCATTTGTCAAACGTTTCCTAACTGGCAGTTATCCTTAACCACAAAAGAAATCAAAGCGTCCCCATGGAGATCAAGAATGCCTTCCCTTACAATTACATTGCAAATTAGACAAAGCGATGGCTCCACATGGTTAATAAAAAGATATCACGATTTACTTTTTTGTTTTTGCATACGCGATATGAGTTAATTTTGTGCCATCAAAAAGATCTAAAATTTAAGAACAAATAAGCTAAGCAGAATCTAGTAACTTACCCAAAACAAACTGAAGATTAAAAAGCTGGTTCCCTGCGTCGTATACGTCTTTAAAGGGATGCTGAACCGAAATGTGGATTCCTCAAAACACGCGGCAAAAGCGTGCAACGGGATGCTACAAACACCAAAAAAAGAGGTGCATTTGGCAGGAATGTTGACGTCATGTTTCTCCGAGAAGGAGAGGGAACGGCCTGGCGTCTTCCCCGCCTCGTGGCCTTGAGGGAGCGAAGCGAAGAGAGGAGGAAACTAGGTATCTTGACGTCACGCGCCTCGTCGGCCTGGTTCCAATCTCGACCTCTTTTTCCAGAAATACGGCCGTCCATTTGAGATATCGCCTTACTAGTAGTGCTGCAGGGATTGTAGCGTCCCGCCTACATCTCCAGCATCGTTTTTTTTTAAATCCAAATTACGGTTCACCATCCCTTTAAACAATCTGCCCCGAGTATATGATTTATTTGAGTTAAAAATATCTCATTATCGGTTTCACATTAATACTACTAAATTCCCGAAGCTGACGCATGTATTTGTTTTGGTCAGACTCAAGTACAAATCAAGGTGGAAGATGCAGATGTCGAGGAGACGGCCGTAAACAATCCAGGTAATTATTTTCGTTTAGTTTTTCAGGAGTTTACTACTTTTTGCAATCGTGACAAACGTTGACAATCAGTTGCTTTCCGCCGCTGTGCCAACTTTCTTTTTAATATGTATGCTACTGTTTTCATCAGGGTTGTTGTAGGCATAGCCATACGAAAAACAAAAAAGCATCACAACAAAAATTGCTTGGTTATCAACCGTAATTGTTATAATACTTCATCTCCTAAAGTCACCGGAAAAACACTCGAAGAAAATAGAGCCTTCACTCATCGCAAAAATGATATTTTTTTAGCTCACGAGAAATAAATGCGCAGGGTTAGAATTAAATATTTTATTTTATAGGTAGATTATTCTAGATCTTGAAGGTGTAAGGCAAATACAAATATTAAAAAAAATGTAATTTCGTTCATGTGACTCGTACGTATAGTGTGCATGTTTCCCTCGGGAATGTGCATTTAAGTGACTCGCATATAAATGAATGGATAAAAAATAACGACTGTACCTTTTTTAATGGGCGGTAGCTTGCGCTACCTAGCCTCAAAACAACAAAACTTGATTTCCCCTTTTCCCCTTCCAAGCCAATGCGTTTATGTAACTATCACCAGGCGATGAAAGTGATTACCAGGCAGACCTTCGAACGATCGGGCAAAAAAAAAAATCCTTTTCGTCAACTAACACCAGACCCACTGGTGTTAGACTGGGTTGAGACTTTCAGCCGGAGCCAATTTCTCTCTGTCCCGCCTGTCCCCAGCTGTGCTATTTAGTTGTGCATCATTCAATTTTCCCTAGATAATTTGCCCCAGCACTCCAACCTCCTCTTCGTTGCTTCTACTCTCCTATAATCCACCCTTACATAATCTCCAGCAAAACCGAGGGCCACCGGTGGCCCTCGGTGTCGCGCCTTCGAGAAGGGCAGGACTAACCTCCTTACATTTTAGAATCTCCATGCTCAACTGTCTTCGTCTCCTTCTTACATATTGGACACATTCTATCTGTGTCTTCAAATTTGGCCCTATACGTTTTGTTCTTAAGTGAAGCGGTGTCGCAAGAGCAAAACGTCCGCTAGCCTGCCGTATTTAGTGCGTACTACGCAGAGACAATGTCATGGGATGATCACGTTAACTACATTATATACAAATTGTCCAGCATTGTTGGCTTGATACATCGTAATAAACACATATTTCCCCTTAAGGTAAAGTTGTTAATATATAATTCATTATTTTATTCCCATATAAACTATGGTCATCTAGTATGGGGCACAACTACTTTTACTAACTGTAAAAAAATATTCATTTTGCAAAAAAAGATTTTAAGAAGTATTTGCAAAGTCCCACTCGAATGTCCAATGGATTCACTTTTTACTCAACTGGGTGTAATTAAAATTTTTGATTTGTATAGATATCGCCTTTGCGCAAAATATATGATTGAAAAAAACATGCATGTACATCATCTTGAATATTTAGCGAATCTAACACAAAAAGTACACTCGTACCAAACGCGCATTCTGCAGCCCTGGCAAGTGCCTCTTTTTAGAACAAATTATGGCCATTATACTATAGCATACACACTACCGACCATCCTTAACCACCTTCATATGCACAACATAGAACTTGACACGTCATCGGTGGGTACCTTGCGGGACATGATACTCTCTGGGCAAATCGGCCACGATTGAACGGTGCCTTTGTGTGTATTTTCTGAGTATTTTTATTTATTTTTTGTAAAGGGGAATGTACTTGTGTTTTGTGTATTGTACAATTAATTAACGTAGACTATTTTTCTGGTTTTTTCTTGAACGATGTGGGGCAGTGCTATTTTTTGTCTACTCTTAAATATTGTATTTTTTGTTATAGTGCCTTGAACGATGAGCAAGTGACGTTATGCTATAGTGCCTGTTTATTTTCTTTAGTTTCATATATCTCATTGCCAACTGTTCAATCTCTTTTTTGTTTAGTGTTCTCAGTGTATTTCTTTTTTTTTTTTCATGCACGCTGCTTGTAGCTGCTGCTTTAGGGGGGCTTAGAACTAGTCAAGCTGTACACACAGCTTTTTTCCAAAGCCCCTACCAACACTGTACCTTTCTTGTTGGAAATAAACCTATTATTATTATCAATACCCCTAGACGACACGGCCGTAGTGCTGGTCGTTTAAGGGGTATCGTAGTAACGTTACTCGTCACTGGGACTGAAAAAGAAGGCAGTACCTCAGCTTCAAAGTAACGCGTTATTTTCTGGTTACTCCGAATGTGTCGTTTTTATGAGCAGTAGCTGCTTCCAATACTTGTCGTCATCAATAGTTCCTTGATATTAACGCGTCCAGGAACTGCGGTCATACCGACATGGTTTGGTCACATATTTTGATGGTCTATCTCGAACTAAGATGAGAACTACAGGTTGCGTAATTGTGTCATACACGTTTCCTTCCAGAAGGTAAGGAACTAAAAACCTTTAGTCGTTCCTTTAGCATAGTGTAACGAAGGTATGTTATTCGTTCCTTCTCTTAAAAGTACAAGACTGCCTGCCCATATTCAAATCGTCCCCTCTACGTATTGTTTTTCCAGCTGACCACGATGAAAGCGACGAAAATGAGGAAGACGAGGAAGACGACGAAGAAGATGACGACGACGACGAAGACGACGACGAAGATGACGACGAAGACTACGAGGACGAGGAGGAGTCCGAGGAAAGTGACGAAGAAGACGAAGAGTCCGTAGCGTCTGCCCGGCCCCGCCGCATGTCCGAGCTGAACATTCAGACCAAGATACGCCCCATTCCCAAAGCCAGCTCCTTCTTCATCTTCTCACACGACAACAGGTGGGTGGCCACCCTGTCTGGTTCTTTGGTGATCTTGTGATTTATGGTGGATATTACGGGCGTCCGAACAAACAAAATGAGAAGCGATACAATATTTGAAAACTTACCGTACCAAAATCTTTCTTTTGTCGCAAGTTGCGGTTTCCATAGGAGCGGTACGCCCACTATGGTGGAGGGCTGTGCACAGCCACGTTTCGGGGCCAGACTAATGTAATTTAAGTGATTGTGGGATATGAGAGTATTAGTGTTAAAAAGGCGAATAAAAATCTTAAAGATAATCTAAATTGGTGAAATACTTTTTTGGAAATGTTTGCAACCACGGGGTGCCCTCATTGATTACATTTCAGCATGTGAGAAACTGAGTTTCTGGGAGTTAATTTTAGCTGAGCCACTTGCTAAGCCCACTGGAAGTGTGCTTAGTTGACCCGGACTTGTTTGCTTCTAAAGGGGCATTCGAATAGGGGAGGGATGTGCTTGACGCCAGCGGTTGGCAGAACCAGCGGGACTATTCACCTACTCCGGCATTCACACGGACGGCGGAAGGCCGACAGGGATGTCAGTGTTAGCAGACGAATTTAGCGGTCGCACTCTCGACAGCGGGGATTGGTGCTCGCAGACGAGAGTGGAAAAATAAAGGCGTACGTGACATGGCGGTAAGCGATATGGCAGCAGCTCTGTTAAATACAGAATACAACACACCGCTTCCTGCTAAAAAAAAAACAAAAAAACACAAGATGTTGGGTGAAAAGGTGGATAGAACACAAAGATAGAGAAACCCAAACCCAGTTGTACGAGCTTGAACTTTTTGAGGAGCAAGTACTACAAAAGGCGGAAATCCTTGGCTCTGCAGCGATCAGCACAGATTTTCGCATCCTCTAAGGGGTCCACCGCCAAACTAATCATAAGAGAATTCGGTATTTGTTAAGGTTCTGTTTTCGGCCCGGTTTCAGGACTTACACCGTGCAATACCGAAATTAATCGCTTTGAAGCGAGGCCTAATGCTCAGCCCTCGGTCTGACTGTCACAAGCACGAAAATGGTCACTGTTATGAGCCCAGGTTTCACATCTACGGATCATTCCCCCGCCAGACTGGAGACGAAGTAAGCTAAATTGATGGCCACCAATTCCCCAATGTCCGGAACCCATGGTTCCCCCTCAAGACCACGCCACAACCAGCTGCACCAAAGATCAAAAACAAAAACACCCACAACATCAACCCCTCACCCTGAACCATCATAACCATTTTTATTTCACCTGTGAAATACCATTGCATATTATTTAGACGCGGCTCAAGAACCCTACATATATGGCGGTTTGCCTTTTTGCTGCACCGCGGCTCTCTTGAGCTAAAATAAAGATCACTATCACAATCATTGATAAATATCAAAGACTCTTTGGGTACCTTGGACGACACGCGCAAGCCACAGCAAGATAGGCAATCCCGATGCCACCGCCAGTATCCTGCAGAGAAAGATCTGTGAAGTTGCCACACACGCGAAAAAAATGCCGCTGATTGCAGAGAGATTTCCCGCCAAAATGGGGACTGTGCTGTCCAAACAAAAGCTCCCCCATCCCAGGGGAAGGTCTACGTCAGCGGGCTTCCACACAAAGGCGTCACGGTGTTGTCATGTTATTCGCACCCCGGGGGACAAAAGAAGAGAATTCTCCCCCGTGGAAATCTGCTAAGTAATGGTTAGGTTACGCGTAAGGGGCCTCAAGGTATAAAATAAGGTGACGATGATCATTTATTATGAAATGTAATCAAAGCGCCTCCGACAGACTTCACGATGTTTCTGTTGCAGGATACGAATCCTTTGCCATAAGATCATCAACCACAGCTACTTCGGCAACTTCATCCTGGTCTGCATCCTCGTGAGCAGCGGAATGCTGGCAGCCGAAGACCCCCTGCGCTCAAACACCTACAGAAACCAGGTGCGTGTTCCTCGGCTCCCCTGAATACAACGAGGGTCGCTACGTTAAGTTCTTGAACGCAGGGAGCCTCGATGACTGTCTCTTTTAAGGTCGGGACACTTTTGGTTAAATGCAATGTCGCCAGAGTATGGTGCTGCACGGCTATAAATAAAATTCGAAAAATCAAATGCCCCTCAAGCGTTACACAACGCTACGCACTTAAAAATATAAACAATTATGCGGCAAACCGGATGTGTTGTCGTTTTCAGAAAAAACAAAATGGTGTGTATGTGTGCGTGTCTGTGTGTTTGTGCTCTCTACTTGACGTGTATGCTGGCAACACACCCCCATTTGAAACTTAGATTAGAATTAAGCTAATAGGGCAATTAAGCCTCACCTGTTGTAAGGGATAATTTAGTCAACAGAAACCACATCTGGTGAACTCATACCAGTAATACATTTGTGGGAGCTTCTTCTTGAAGCCCCAAAGTGGAAGAAAATGTTACGCTGAAAGGCTTTGTTTCTTCAGAGCAATCTTGTGAAGTTAAGCGAAACAGTACCTGTCGCATCTAGAAGGCTACGTTTGAACTTTTTTTCTCTCAACTTCGAACACATACATATCTCGTTTGTCTCCCGGAGAGGAATTCATTTTGCTTTACATGTCTTGCTTAAAGTTTATAACGATGCCCGATGCCCATAAAATACCAATCTAGTCGAAGACTGACAACTGCTCTCGAAGATGGCAAGCCCGCAACAATTAGTAGCTTATGTTACTGCTGCTCTAGATGAGTCTGGGGGCCATGCGAATATTTTAATGAATACTTTCTTTTCCGTTCTTAATTTCAATGGTAGCTGGCTTCGTCCAATAATTGCAAAGTACGAGTCAGTAAGTTTTCGTAGTCACTTATGAAAAATCCTCTTCGAGTCAGTAATGAGGTTGACCTGTTTAAAGTCGGAAAATTGATATGCCCTTTTGTACTATTTGTATTGCGAAAATTAGTTTAAAACATGGTAAAGGTGGAGTCAAACCTGGTTCAGAAATGTCCGTATGCTGCATCTTGCACAATCTTGCCAGTTCAAGGTCACGCTTTTTTTTAACACATTCAGACGTGCCCATTGCTTTACTTCTTTTTTTGGGTTGCAATAACATATAAAGTGCCTGCACCAAAGCCTCTTTGTAGTGATTTTTCTTGTGTGATAATCTCACTTATGTGTCATCAATATCAGTCAACAAAAAAAAAAGAAAGTGCATACATAGCAGCGCTTCTCCTGAGTACACTTATTTTACTTTTTCCCCGTTTTTAGCGCGCTGCTTGACCTTTTGTCATCATGAATCAATCAGCCCATATCGCCACCCTGATTAAGAGTAACATCTAAATAGTCCTTGTAGTCACAAAACGTAACTGCTGGCTAACTGGACAGTTGGAAGAAAATTGTTAAGTCTTGTCATTGAGATGTCAAGCGAGAAATTAGACATCCCATTAAAGCATGATTTATAATTTGCCACATACCGCCTTTCTTGAATGTTTGACCTCGCTCCTTCGCCCACATCTTTATTAATCATTGGGGTCTAGCAATGAGTACATCCATGTTTATTTTTATCTTGTTTCAGATCTTGAATTACTTCGACTACTTCTTTACTACCGTCTTTACCATTGAGATCACACTCAAGGTAATGTATAACTCGTGTAATAGTGATGGTATAATTAAATGGTAAAATGATTATAATAAAAGCGCATTTTCTGGTGCGTCTGCTAAGTGCATTAACCACTATCCCGCAGTTTATTCCCTGCTATATTTCAGGTGATCACGTACGGAGTAATTTTGCACAAAGGCTCCTTCTGCAGGAGCTATTTCAACCTTCTAGACGTCCTTGTCGTCTGCGTTTCCCTCATTTCTTTTGGATTTGGGTGAGTGCTTGCTTTCCATCTCGCTAATATGAAATCGCAGGGCTCAGTTGTTTCCAGGTGTTGACCCGTTGAGGACAAACGTATTTGGCAACAATGTCGGCGTCGGAATTTTAATTAACGCCTACCAAGAAAAGGCCGATGTTCAGACTCGACCTTGTGTCACGGCAGAAGATCAGTTCGAAGTGGGGTGGGAGAAGAGGGAACGGAAGTGGATAACGCTGCCTTGAAACACTCCCTGCAGATGATGTAATTTAATCTTCACTGTTACATTGGGTGTCACAATGGCAAGACTATGATTTCATTCGTAACTCCAACCTCGCGCATTTAATCCCCCTTTCCCCGTTTCACAATTCGGACACCAGGCCGCGCAAGTTTTTGCTCCCGGGAGCTCCTCGCTCCCCTTCTTTGCTTCTTTTTCCGCTAGGAGATTTTATTTTTATTGGAGTTGAGAATAGAACAACCTTGACGTAATCTTTCTACCAATGTTTTGCGCACTCGAGACGCCTAGACGAGACAGAGGTCGCAGGCTATCCTATCCTTAATTTCTACGTTTGAACGACTTTGTCTTATTTTATTATAATTCTATGGCATGTGAGAGTAATCTATTAAGTGTTTTTACTTGCATTTACAGTTTTGTCCTTGTGGGTTTTTTAACCATTCTGGCGTTCTTTGTTTAAAAACCTGCATTAACTCGATGGTATCGCATATCTTTTGTTTCGCGTCCGCTGTAAACATTGCAAATGGGCTCCGTTCCTTGGTGCAGAGACGGGACCATTTCGGTGGTGAAAATCCTCCGTGTCTGCCGTGTATTACGTCCACTCAGGGCCATCAACAGAGCGAAGGGCCTCAAGGTAAGCCGAAAGCTGCGCGCTTGGAATGTTTCTTCTGAGATACTCTTAAAGGGGGATCGGCTTTTCTGGGGACTTCACTACTTGAGTCATTTTCCTGGATCGTTAAAGCTAATTGTCTCGCTTCCAAGACAGTTACACGCGTGTTTGAATCACGGGACAAGCTAGAAAGCGAGCAATATTAAAGACAGGTATATTTCCCGTCCTCCACCGAAGCCCAGAATACCGGTCGTCTCAACTAGCTAGTCGAATTTCTGAATCTCACGCATTCACTAACTGAGAAATTCGAGGAGGCCGCCGGCCTGAATCCTTTCAACATACTGGTTTCTTCGTCTCTCTCGCTTTTCTGCAGCACGTGGTGCAGTGCGTCATAGTGGCTGTGAAGACAATCGGCAATATTATGTTGGTGACGTTCCTGCTCAATTTCATGTTCGCTGTCATCGGTGTGCAACTCTTCAAGGTAAAGATCTTTCTCTACCGTAGCCCCTTTCAGTATGCGGGCTTTAATCGTCGAAATCTACCAACCAACTCGCGGCTCCGATGTTGGCCCTACTTTCGGCAAAGTTCATGCGCACACGCTGCACGTAAACGTTTCTGCGCACGCGCGATGCCCCCGCTAGGTGCCAGAAAACGAGGACATGTTTGCAGACAGTGTGTTAGTCTATACGACTTCCCATTCCTTCAAATTTCTAGTTTATTAACTGTAATTTTAGTGGACAAAATCTTCGTTTTACCCGACCGATCATTGTTGCTCACTTATGTCCTATTTGTTACAGGGAAAGTTCTTCAAATGTTCAGACCCTTCCAAAATGACACAACCCGATTGCAGGTAAGTCTTGAGCTGAGAATTCTTGCTACCTACCTAGGTCAGTGACACGGGTCAACCGGTGCACGCAAAGGGAGAGTCATAACGAGAAAAGAGTCAAAGTACAGGCTAGCTGGTGGAAGTCAACCATTTCGTCGTTTACCCTGAGACTGGGTTTTGTTTTTGAAGAGCAGAAGTAACAGAAAAAACAGACAGGTCTCAAACTCAGCTACAAGTTTATTTCAACAACTTCCTCTTATATAGTTCGTTCTCGTCGTCATCAACCAATCACATACGACTTGTCCTCTGCACCGTGACTTTACTGGTTCCACTCTATCACAATAGAAGCGGACACTCCCAACGTTTCCAAGTGAAAAGGTTCTAGCAGAAGAAATGCCTCACAAAGACTTCAAGCAACTCTTTTGTGTCCTCACAATAAACAGGACAACAGCCCACAACAACATCCCACTCAAAACTGGTCACCTCCAAAATTATAGAAAACAGACAATACACACCAATACACACCACAGACAATACACACCAAAGAAGCCTTTCAGGATGACTAAAAAAAAACACTTAAAACTGTAAAAATTGCTTGCAGCGGTTCCCTATTTGCATGGAAGGTTGACTAATGCAATTTCCCAACGATCTAATCCTAAATGGCAGGATATGAGACTGGTAATGGCAGGATATGGGGAAGAGTACATCAAAAGGCAAATTGCCCTACAGTGCAGGGAGAAGAAGGGGAAGACGCAAGAAATCAGGGATAGGTACGCTGTGGTTCCGTGTTTTCACGAGGTGTCCCACAATCTTAGAGCAGGTGCAAAACAAATATGGCGTGGATGTCGTATTCAGCACGGATTTTAGGTTAGATAGATTGACACCTTTTGAAACGGTACAGAGGGGCTGTCAGAAGGCGCATAGGGAAAAGTCAGTGCCGTGCAGCGTAGGCGTGGTGTATGAGGTTCCTTTGGCGTGTGGTTTTAAGTATGTAGGCCAAACCTCTCGGTGATTGAAAGATCGTTTAACAGAACACAAAAGAAATGTTAAAAATAATGCAGCAAAATCGGAGTTGGCTAAGCATCTGGAGGAGTGTAGAAACTGCACAACGGATTGGTCTGGAACGGATGTAGTTGTTAAGGAAAGCAACGATGTTAAAAGGGTGGTAAGAGAAACAATTAGGATTAGATCGTTGGGAAATTACATTAGTCAACCTTCCATGCAAATAGGAAACCGCTGCAAGCAATTTTTACAGTTTTAAGTGTTTTTTTTTTTTTTAGTCATCCTGAAAGGCTTCTTTGGTGTGTATTGTCTGTGGTGTGTATTGGTGTGTATCGTCTGTTTTCTATAATTTTGGAGGTGACCAGTTTTAAGTGGGATATTGTTGCGGGCTGTTGTCCTGTTTATTGTGAGGACACAAAAGAGTTGCTTGAAGTCTTTGTGAGGCATTTCTTCTGCTAGAACCTTTTCACTTGGAAACGTTGGGAGTGTCCGCTTCTTTTGTGATAGAGTGGAACCTGTAAAGTCACGGTGCAGAGGACAAGTCGTATGTGATTGGTTGACGACGACGAGAACGAACTATATAAGAGGAAGTTGTTGAAATAAACTTGCAGCTGAGTTTGAGACCTGTCTGTTTTTTCTGTCACTTCTGCTCTTCCAAAAAAAAAAACCCAGTCTCAGGGTAAACGACGAAATGGTTGGAGAGTCATGTGCCAGAAGTTTTCGGCTAGTGAGGGAAGGAAAGGACTTATTTAAGCTGTAGCACATGCTGAAGCGTGATGTCTGAGGAACTTGACTAATTCTGTGACTTCCACTAAATTAGGTATTTTATTAGGTAGAATAACACTTTCTCAGCGCAGATAAAGATTCTGGTTGTTTAGCGCCACGTGTTAGTGTGTATTGTGTTTATTGATTTTTAAAACAGTATTGCTAGCCACCTGTACGGTGGTCAAGAATAAGGTGAGCGCCATTTCGCTGAATATAAAATTTACAGAAAACAAAGACGCAAGGGAATCTCAAATAACAAAAGCAACGCGCTACTATAATACGGCAAAGCTATAGGTAGACTAAAATTAAATGTTTACTGCACACTGCACCTTAAAGATTTATTTAAATTTTATTTATATTAAATAAAATTGCAATAAGACTAATATAAAACTCTGGAGCATGCTCCCGAGCATGCTCCGGAGTGTGAACGATAATAGTTCCTTCTCAAGAAGTGACAGATACAAGGGAGGTTTAGCAGACGGTGTTCCTAAAGCGATAGGAGTACTAAGAGCTCATGCTGGCTCTACAAAACATGCCCTGGAACGAGCGTACAGAGCGTTCTCGGTCACATGAAAACGACCTTCTAAAGCCTCACGAGGAGTTAATAATTTAATACAGTAATTAAGGTGTCTGAAACACGTCTCCTACATGTGTGTTTGGTGTCCTATCCGGATAGCAAGTCCCCTACTTCTTTTGCGGGAGTTGAGGTGACGTCGAAAAGAAGCAAAGCTCTGATTGGCTCTGATTGAAGGATAGGGGATAGAGCTCAAATCAAGCTACCTTGAACTCTACCCACTATTCTTCATTCAGAACCAAACAGAGCTCGGGGTTCTGACGTCACCACGACCCCTGCAAAAGAGGCAGACAAACTTGCGCTCCGACCTCCACACATGCATCGAAAGTAGTCCCGTAGTGGCAACAAATGTCGTCATAAAAGTCGGAGCGTCACGCTGTCGGATATCGCGATCCTGGCGGTTGGTCGTAGAAATGCTGGCGAAAAGCACGAGCGAACGCGAGTGTCGCTGCCGTCGCGGCATCCCAACTCTTCGCTGCCGAAGGTTCTGTGGACTGTTTAGCTAGAGAGTCACCTGCAGCACAACAGACCTCTGCTACATCCACCACCGCTGCTGTAAAACCTCCAGGATCACGGCCAACGACGTGACAATTCCATGACGTCATCAGGCGGAAATCGAGGAACCACTTTTTTGAGCGCGGTAAACACACCAGTCGCCACCATATCGGAGACCCGTTCCAGGTACCATACAGTAATCAATATCCTACGCCGGGCGCCATTGTTGCTCAGTGCTTAGTTGTCTGCTCCTAAATGCTCAAAGGCAGACCTGGGATCTTGGATAACTCCGATAACAGATGGCAGTGAATGCTCACGCGCTGCCTGTTCTTTTGCCTCGCGCAGGGGAAAGTTCATCATCTACCAGGGCGGAGACATCACGCGTCCTGTGGAAGAGGCACGCTCGTGGGACCGCAACAACTTCCATTTTGACGATGTCCTCAAGGCCATGCTCACGCTGTTCACCGTGTCCACCTTCGAGGGATGGCCAGAGTGAGGGAACTGAGCGCGTCTGCTCTCATAGGGAGTATTCGCTGGTGACCATACCTGAGTCCACGGCTGCTCAGCACGTGCTGACTGCGAGCCTCCGCAGCTTTTTTGCCAACGTATATTCCAAAACATCAAGATTGTCGGTATCAAAAGTCGAAAAAATATTACTGCTTACTGCACATGCTCATTCTGAGTTTACTGTACATGCTCATTCTGAGCATGCGCAATAAACCGCGCGCTCAAATAGAGCGTCCAGTGAGTACCCTCTATAGTTTTCTTCGGAAACGCTAAATGGGAGGGACTCAATCTTGTCTCCCTGAGCAACCGATTTAGGGACTCAGGTGGAAAGTCGCCAACGTTCCTGAATCCATAATGGTCATCGCAATAGGACCTGCATAACCGCAATATGGCAAAGTTTAGTACTAAGGGAGACTGGCCTGCAGCTCTATATTAGCAGGGCGGTAGCCAAACTACCTAACGCAGTAGCCGGTCATCTTACTTCAGATTGCTAGTGAACTGCAATAAAGGGGCATGACGTCGGTGTTTTCCTACCGTGCCATCATGACACTCATAAAGAGGGTAAATACAAAGAGCACAACAGGTAGTTTGTATGATTGTTTAAAAAAGCGCCGTCACGGGCGCAGTTGGTTCGAACTTCCTAAAAAAAAATGTGGGCATCGAGTGTCGCTATCACCGCGAACTGTGCCATTAGCCTTCCATGAAGCTTCGCTATGCTAACGAATGTGCTTTGCTCTACATGCGAGTTTCGCATACCATGAATCCATATTACAATTGTGCTAACATCTGTATGAAACAAAACATGAACCGCTGTCCGTTTTGGCAAACAGAAAACTATTTGCGTAATACTGAACGTCACATCCAATCGCTGATAGATGGGAAAACAAATTATGTACGCGACATGAGCTTGGATGTCTAAATTAGTGCGGAACCGCACCGCGGCTGGTCGACGGGCCGGGAGGCAATTTCACGGGGTGCATCCTTTCAAGGCAGCACCGGAGTTGTGTACCGTGAGCAAAGTGGTCCTTATAGTGGACGTGTACCTGCACGAGAAGGACGAAGTCGGAACGGTACCACCGGTGCAGATTTCGCTCGCAACAAGTAAGGTGTCGCTAGTTGCTCACTGCCCGCCATTGTCACTCACGTCTGTCGACCTAAACCTTGAGTTTTCTAAAAGCCGTAGTTCCTCTGCTCATACATCGAACATAAGACACGGTAATCGGTACAGACATGATTATAGAAGTATCCGCGGACGCACCTCAAGCATGTTTGGAGCGTGTTTGCTCCCATATATCCTTTAAACATATCTGCAAACAGCTTTTGTATGACCAAAGTGACAAGACCATTGTACAAGGAAGAAACGTGCGTCATACAATGACTGCCGACCGTCTTTTGTATGATGTATTAGCTGTGTTACCGCGGCTTAATAGGTTCACGCAACTGTTTTCTAGAATAGCGAGGACGAGTGTGTGCACTAAAAAGCAGCCTTTGCGCGTGTTAAAAAAACGTGTCACTGCATGCTTCTTTGTTTGCTCGGTGCAGCCTCTTGTACGTGGCCATCGACTCCAATGCGGAAGACCACGGGCCCATGCACAACTACCGACCCCTCGTGGCGGTCTTCTTTATTGTGTACATCATCATCATCGCTTTCTTCATGGTTAACATCTTCGTGGGCTTTGTCATTGTCACGTTCCAAAACGAGGGAGAGCAGGAGTACAAGAACTGCGAGCTGGACAAGAACCAGGTCAGTGCCATGCCTGCTTTGTGCGGAAGTTGTCTTTGCTTAGAGCTATATTGCATCTCTGCCTACGTCATAAGCGATTACATTGTTTGGTGACTTCCAAAGGCGGCCTTAATATTGTAGGATTTTAAGAAAAATAAATAATGACGATGTTGATGATAAGAGTGAACCCCACTAAGGAGCTAGACCTGACGGCGCTGGCGGGACTTCGATATTTCGTGAAGCCACTTCGTTGAAAGGGAGCTGAAACTTGAGTAAAGGCCCGTTCACACATTTGAGTTTGAGTACGAACGAATGAGAGAAAACCGGTTTCTAAGCCTGTTGTGACGGCTTACGTGCAGCTGCGAAGCAATGCAGCCGGTTCTAAGCCGTCAGAACAGGCTTAAAAGCAGGCGTTGTTTCAGTTGATCGTAGTCAAACGCAAGTGTGTGAACGAGCATGATCCGGACGAGGTTCCTTTAAGCAGATTTCCGCAGTGACATACTTACGGTATATTCGACGGGTCAATTTCCAGTCTCTTGGAGCACTCTGAAAAGCCGATGCCCTCGGTGGTCGAAGTCGGGCGCACTAAGTATATTCAGCAGGTTCTTTGATGGTCTGGTGAAGGCGAGCGGGTTGAACATGAATACATAAAATTGAAAGAATAAAACACAGAGGACAAGCACAGGACAAGCACAGGTTCTTTGATGGTGCTCTCAGATTTTTGGATCGCGCCTTCCTCTGACTCGTAGCAGGACAAGTGAGGCGCTCTGACTTCGAAGTAGGAGTGGTGGCGAGCGCGTGCCAGATGACTGCCGGTCACGTGACTCCAACCACTTCCACTGTTGAGTTAAAAGAGAAAGCTGCCGATACAGCGGAGGGGCCCCACCGCCTTTGGATATGCACAGATCCCGCTGTGCCGTGCACTGAGTTCACGAGGTGCTCGACGCTTGACGGGGCACCGGACCGCAGCGAAAGTCAGCGTCCGCATTGAAGGCTGCCATTTTTCGTGCGGGCAAGCGGTCATGCGGCGGGGCCGCTGGGTGGATGAATGGTATTGGCTAAATCCTTCGTATCGGGCGGTAGGTTGGCAGTGGTGCGGTCGCGGAAGTTGCCCTCGGTATCCGGTTCCGTGCCAGCGCTCGGGGGCTCGGGCCGCTCGGAAAAGCGGCCGAGCATTCGGCCGGCGCGCTGTTCGTCTAGCTCGGAAGTTGGAGGCGCTCCCGTATCTCCCCGATCCGATTTGGAGGATTGGAGCGCTGAAAAACGACCAGCCGAATATGCCATTACTACGCTCCGTCTCATTTCAAGTCCGCCATCAGCCAAGGCTACAATCCAATCGTGCTAACCTTGCAGCCCCAAAATTGCATCGTCAAAGCGATTGGTTCTGTTTCTGAATATGCTATGAGGCACAAAAAAAGGCGGAATCACGCCATCTTCACTGTGCGTGATCGGTGGAATCGATGATAGCACACGTTCAAAATAAACGAGCACCATGACGATGCACTTTTGGCGCGGCTTGGTTGCTCCATCAGATCGTAGCGTTGGTTGAGGTAGGACGTAAAATAAAACAGAGTGGAATCAGCACCGATAACCCCACATTCTGGCTAACTGCGTCACGCACTTCACATGCGAGAAATCTGGAGCGCGGCGTGACAAGGAGAACGACTACCTGCGTCGCTTGAGACTGTAGTTTGGATGCTCCCTGGATTCGCTCTGAGTCCCGAATGTTGGCTTGCAGAGGAACTGCATTGAGTTTGCCCTGAAAGCGAAGCCCGTGCGCCGCTACATCCCCAAGGCTCGGTACCAGTACAAGATGTGGTGGTTCGTCACCTCTCAGTATTTTGAATACGCCCTTTTTGTCCTCATCATGACCAACACCCTCACCCTTGCCATGAAGGTAAGCAAGCACCCTCACTTTCTTTCTTTCTTTCGATGCTAGTTTGCACACTCACGGCTGCTTGTAGGACCGTGAGCCTTAGACCCCTTAATATCACTTACGACAAGACCAGAGCCGTATATGGGGAGAGTTTGGTCAGTCTATGATCTCGCCGCCGTAACGCCCTCCTCCCGAGTGAGCCAGTCAGCACGCGGCGCAGAGCGAGAGGCATGAGCGCATGCGCGTGAACTCCCGGCTGCTCCCAGCTGAGCGGGGAGGGCCGCCATCTTCGATCATTTACCCGACGGAATGCGTGGGATCGGCATTTAAATCTCGATTATTGCCTTTTATATCGCTGGCTCTGGCAAGAAAATTACATTCTGTTATTCCTCGGTGGGTTAAAAAGCTAATATATGAAAATTTTTCGCTGTATGGCCACAAACTTTTATTCAGGCGAAAAAGAAGTCGGCCCGTAGCAGACGACGCGTAGCCTCAGCAGTGCTCTTCTCCGACCAGTCTCCGACAGCGTTGCTCAAAAATGGCGGTCGTCTCCTCTCTGCTCCCTTCTTTCTCTCTCGCTCCTTCGGCGCTCTCCTCCCTTTCATTTACTTTTCTCCTCTCCGGCGCCTTCGCCGCCACACCCACTGGCCAAACTCTCCCAATATACGGCTCTGGACACGACAACAAATTGGCGCCATCTATCGGATAGCGGTTAGCGCTTGGCATTGCCGTATATTTTTTTCGCATTATTCTTTTCTTCTTGGCTGGAAAATGTTTTGAACAATGTTATAAAGAATCATTGCTCACAGACCGCACCCACGTTGGATCTCGCAAAAACCGCAAAAAACTTCGCTCTAGTGAAACGCAGATTCAAGTTCACCTCATAGATGGCGCCAGCTCGCAAGTGTGTTCTCTCGTCGGAAGCGATTAGAAGAAATCGGTCGTAAGCAAACGCAAGTTGTGAACGGGTCTTTAGACTGTTCCAAAAACAAAACCACTTTTCTTTTTTTTCTCTTGTTATTGTAAAGGAATTTAAAACTATTTACTCATGTGAACGTCTCTGTCAAACTATTCGTTGTTGCTTTGTGTGCATTACATGGCTAGGGCATGCTAAGAATCAGCTGTCGGATATAATTTACACCGCGTTTATAATAACTAAAATAAGAGTACAATAGCGAAGTTGAGCTGTTAATACGTTATCGCACGGATAAAACCAAAAGTTAGGAAGTCTGTTAACCCTTCATTTCCTTTTTTCCCCACTATAATTGTACTTATGATAATATGAACGCACTTTTGTTACCCTTTAAATTATCGAGTCTAGCGCTTTTTTTTATTTGTTCGGATGGAAACAAATTTAAAGTGGTCGCAATGAATTTTACTTTATAAGCTACATGTTCTCAAAAAGGTTACGAGCCGTCAGGAACAGATTAAGAAAATGTCTGAGGACCTCCACATATGTCACAAGTGCCTTTTTTTTCCACATGTTTTGATCTATATGAGAAAGGCACCTCTGAGCCTAACATAACATGGAGGTCGCTTGGCCTGCAATACGTACAAAATGAGCGAAAAAGGTGCAGAAAAACTAAATTGTGACTTGAAAGACAGATGATTACCAGAGTTCAACCTCTCCTATGTTTCTTCTGATGTCAGGAAGGCTTCTGTAACCAGCCACCACTGCTGGAGAATGCGTTACGATTAACAGCGTTACCGATCGCAGTCCTTTTTGTTTTCAGTAACGTAACGTACTCGTTACTTTTTCAAAGCAGCAACAAATAACGTACTTATGCTACTTATTTCGAGTAACGGGTAACATCTTCTACCCAAGACTTCATAAAAATTACACTGTAACCTTTTCCGTGTTTCTGGGCGCCAAATCATACGAGTTTTCGCACTCATCCCCCATCCCTTCAAAATGGTGCCTCTCTGTTCCCCACGTAAACACGCGCATTTTCCAAAACCACAACGCCCAGGCCCAGTCGAAACAATAAAACGTTTTAATTCTTCAATAAAAAAGTAAACTTGCGTTACGTTTAATCGGTGCAGGTAATATCCCTGTCACGCGGGCACCCTTAACCACGGTCACCTCAACCTTAACTGCTGCTACGCGGCACCACAGTTACCGCACTATACTCTCGGACAGCTATATCAAAAAATGTGAAGAGAGCTCGAGTGCACTGCTTTGATGGGTGCTCAAGATGCCCAAGCGAACGTGCGCCCATAGCTTTGACTGCATAGACGCGGAATGTTGTCCGCAAGTATTGTGCGTTAACTGTGGCTTGGCGTAACTGGAGTTAAGTTTGCTAGTGTAACGAGGGTATAAGTCGTTCTTTTTTTATTTTGGTCTAACGTAGGCCGGTAACGTGTAGCTGTTTCTTTTCTTTGTTTACAGCGGAGCTGTTGAGGGCTAGTTTCCCCAGTTTCGTGTCCGGTACCAAACAAATGTCGACACAAAACTCTGGACGGCTACCGCCATCTATGAGCGACGGCGGCAACCAGACAACCGGTCTGGTTGCCGTCGTCCTCATAGATGGCGGCAACTTTTCCAGCTGTCATAGAAGAATGGATAGTTGGGCGAGTTGGTAGGAATTCATCGCAGGAAACAGCGCGCAAAACATACGAGGACGAAGAAGAAAAACACATGGGACGAGCGTACAGCTTCACTGGTCTTCCTTCTTCACCAAAATAAAAAACTGAAAAAAAAAAAAAATTTTTTTAGATAACAAGTAATGTATTTCGTGTTTTTTTTTTTTTCCTAACGTTTACAACACTGGAAATACCATATACGCAGTGATTATACACCTGTTTTGTATGCTTTGCCCTTTCCGCAGTTCTACGGTCAATCGGACACCTACACGTACGCCCTGGACATCATGAACATGATTTTCACAGCGGTTTTTGCGCTTGAGTTTGTCCTCAAGATTGTGGCCTTCAGGTTCAAGGTAAAACCGCCCCTTAGATGTTTTTATTACCCGAAAATGGTGTCCTTAAAAGTGTTCAATGTGATTCTAACCGCGAACTGGCTCAAAAGATGTAATTACAACCTGAGTATGACCTCGACGACTATGTAGCTATGTTGTGAACGCTTGCTCCGTGGTATGATGGAAAATGCGCACGAAGGGTGCCTAAACATGAGGAAGATACATAGAAGGGGGGGACGGACAACGAAGACTTCCTTTCTATGTATCTTCCTCGTGTTTAATTACTGTTACCAACACGCTCGTTTTGTACTTAAAGGGTGCCTAATCTATTGAAAAATGTGTTGCGTTCTATAAATGCTAGGGAGCGGATCGTAAATCGGCGAACAGTCTGTATGTACCTCGTTTTCGGAATAGAATGTTGATAAGGACTTCTTTATCTACCTGCTTTCAAAGTGAAAATCAAACTTGAGCAAACGTACATTGGCCTCCAGCAATTCGTGACCATGTGAGGGACTGCAATGTTCAAGATGACATTCCTTCAGTTGTAATACCAAGCATCTGGAGCTAAGAGAGCGAAACATTGCACCTTTTCAAGGCCATCTCGTCCATAATACAACGAATTTTGAATTGTCGCGTTCTTATCATTAAGATCGTGGAAAGGGCAAGAAATCGAGAAGAGGACGAGGAATCGGGATTTAGTTGAGCCCACAATCATTTTTAGGCGAAACATTCGATGAGCCTTTAGTGAATATTCTCTCATTCGGCGTTCATTTGAGTAAAAATATATAAAAAAAGGTTATATGTAGCATGAGTATTTTTATAATATTTATCTTCGATGTTTTCTTCCCCGTCGACAGCGGCCCCCTTTGCCACCATAGATATGGTGCTTCTCCCACCCGTGCATGTATTTGTGCATATGTGGATACGCCAAAACCAGAAATTTCGATATCCCCGTTTAGGGATATCGACAGGCATCCCGCTCCTGTAGTCGTTTCCAAATACAGCCTTTGGACGCCACCATCTTGCTTTGGTGTGTACAGACCGGCTGGTAGTCAAGGTTGGGTGGATGGATGGATAGACGGATGGATATTAACAGGTGCACCCTGTATAAAGGGCAGTAGCTTGCCTTATCTAGCACGTCGTTCTAAGGCGTGCTCACAGTTACCAGACTGATGACCCAAAGCGTTTTTAACCCACGTTGGCCAGACTTTGAAAGCTGTCGCGCTTCAAAAGCTGGTCTGGTCACTATCGGTAGCAAAATGATTTGTTTGACTGTCAGTCTAGACACCTTGGATAGGCCTTAGCAAAGCTTGACTATCAGCCGATCTAGACCCACCAGCACAAAGATAACTGCACCAAGAGGACGTAGAATTGTAAAAATATACATGAACGGGTTGCCTGTCGCTGTGAAGATGAAAACAAAATATCGGCGTGTTCCTTTTTTGCGCAGAACTATTTCGGGGATGCCTGGAACGTGTTCGACTTCATCATCGTCCTTGGAAGCTTCATCGACATTGTCTACTCCGAAGTAAACGTGAGCGATGTCCCTCTCCGCGCCGCCCTCCAAGGAGTCCCGACGCGTTTCGCAATAGGGAATATGGCGAGGCTCCGTCCGCCGGTTTGCTTTGTGGATTGAACTGGATTATATTGGGTTGTGGCGACTTAACCCTTCCAATCGGGCATAATGGTTGTCAGGCTGGAGTGGAACCAGCGGCCCCAAGCTTCGAAGTGCCCATTGAACGCCACGGGGAAGTCACCGAATCCAAATTCAACACGCTTCGCTTTGCTTTTGCGATAATCTTGATAAAACGGTTTGTGATCTTTTCTTGACTAACCGACCATAAAAGAGCAAGGTGACTGAACTCTCATCTGGCTAAACCACGGGATGTGGTCGGAGAAACGACATCGTACGTTAAATTTTAAAAGAAAGGATTTTTTTTTTCCTTCGCGTATGTTGAGATAATTGTGAAGAAGGCTATGCCACCTGCGCTTTGAAAAAGGATAGTCTTAAGAAACTAAAAAAGAAACACGATCGTAAGAAAAAAAATGTTTTCCATTTCTTTTTGGTAGTTTTATGGTCGGAATAAAAGTCACAAACCATTTTCTTGGAATGTTTTCCGCGGTGGCTTCAAGGCTGTTAACAGCGCTCGCGTGTCAGCGGTACGCGGCGGACGGCGAGGCCCGGCCTCGGGACTTCTTGGAGGCGGAACTAACCTCCTGGTCACGGATTTCAAAAGGAGCCCACGATTGGAAAGACAGACTCCGGCGTTTGCAAGTACTGCCTCTGGGCGCCGCCATCTTCCTGCTCGCTTGTGTAGATAGTCCCATGGACAAAGCTCCGCTAAGGCGAGTCCGCAGTTGCCAGACTGCTGCCCTACGGTGGCCAGCGTAGTTTTTGAAGCCTGGCTGCTTGCAGACGTCTGTACTCCCTTTGCCCTTGCAATGTATGTACGGCAGTGGACGCTACGAGTCATCGGAGCCAGTTCATAACTCGGAGCGTGTCACGTGCACTTTCCGGTTGGGCGAAAACGTGCACGGAGCGTGAAGTCACATGGCACGTGTAAAGCACTGGTCCTTGTAACCTGTAATGAGAAATCGAAATCATCACGCATCAAAATATACTCTTACGGGAGTGGCTAATTACCTTGTGGAAACATTTTGGTATAGCGTATAAGTGTTTCTGCTTGGCCCATATATGTTACACGGCGCCTTTTTATTGATCATATATCTGTATAATGCAGTTAAGTGAAACAACCGTAAGAATTAATGAAAGGTAGCGCTCCTTCTCCGCACCGATATCGAGACCGATGGTTCGAAAAACATCATTACGGTATAATTTAGTGGTGTGAATCTTAATGACCGCGTGGAACTGAGCATAGGAAAAACCATGATGTCAGAAACGTTTGTCACTGGCTCAGTTTATTATCTCGATATGTGTCCACCTTTTGAAATCCGTGCCCGGGTCAGCACGAGACTGGGTTCTTGCTAAAACGTAATTACAACAAAACAAAACAAAAAAGGGAGTGGGGGGAGAACTGCATGTGATTTATTTTCTCGAAAGTCCCGCTAAAGAACATAGTCTACGCATGTGTACCTTTCAGTGGCGGGTGTTATCTCGACAAGTTGGAGATATCTTGATTGAAAGCGTCTGACTTGCAGTAGAGCGCTGGATGTTTAATGCATGTTGTCCGATGCACGCTGGTCATCGAAGAATGACGGACGACTCAGTCAGAGCCCGGATGAACGCGAGGATAAGATGCGAATGCTGTTCTGTTTGCTTGTATTCAACTTTATTTTTGCCAGCATGCGTTCGATTTGGTAGAACAAATAGTATAGTGTGCCATGGCTGCCGACAGGCGCGAAATTGGCAACCACGCAAAGTCTTCCCTGTGACGTCCTGTGCAGAAGTTCTATGTACGGTCAAATCAAGAACTGGAAAAAGAAGGACATATATAACCATAGAGGGTGTGTGATTTTATTTCGAACAAATTTATTTAAAAAAAAAAGCCATGAAAGGTGGAGTTTTGCGGTTTGTGGAAGAGAGTTATTCGGCCAGGGGGACTAATGCTAGAGGTTAATCGTTTCAATAAGACGAACGATTGACTAAAATTGTAAATGAACTTCTTAATTAGTGACAATAAACATATAGTTCCAATTAGAAACTTTATGAACGTGATTTAAAACCACTAAACAAATTTTGGAAATATTTGGAGCATGTGATAAGGCGGATGAAAAGGTTATCAATCGTGTCTTCAGACAGCCAGCCTGTTGCACGTGTGGAACATCTATAGGGCACCCTCGCGATTACCACATGCTCCAAATCCTTCTAAATCTGACATATTTAGTTGTTGAGATGTCTCTCATTCAGTTTTTAACTGGAACTATATCTTTAGTTTATCTAATTAAAAATTGTATGAACAAATGTTACTTAATCATTTGACTTCTTGTGGCACTTAACCACATGTACTCTGTCGCCCTTGCCGTATAACTCACTCGCACAGACCGCACTAGTGTACCGTTTGCGGCTTTTCAAAAATTAGTCTGTTCGAATTAAACGCTAACACTCTGTATATAATATGGCTATATTACAGACTTGTACGTAAGGCGTTAAAAGAAACGCATTACTTCTAACTGGTTAAAACACTATTGCTATTATTTTTAAAATATTTTTTTTTTTGCTTCGATACGATCTTTTTGTGTGTAATAAGCGCGTTATTTCATGTTTTATTTTGTATCATCAAATATTGTATCCGCCCTGATACAATTCCCTAACCAGGCAACTTAATATATATATATATATATATATATATATTAAATTAGAATTCTATTTTATCATCCTACGGCTGCTCTGTCTGCGCACATTACTTTTGCCCATATATCAACGGAAGCATTTGTCAACATTCGTCACTCTCTCCCTCTCTCTATATATATATAGAAACAAGTAACGGTATTTTATTGCTTCTGCAGAAAAATTACCCCTTAGATTGCGCCGGTGACTTTCAGGGCAAGAAAAAAAATGCAACACCGGCAAGAAAATAGAAATAATGCGCATGAACGCGTTAAACGGCTAAGCAATACTAAAGACGCACAATTAATTTTTGAGTGACCAGCGAGTAAGGTATTTTAGTTACTTTTTTAGTGAGGTGTCTGACTCTGTCCTTGGCCACTCTTTGACATGGCGTACGGCATATCCCACGGACGCGCTGTGTGGAACAGTCGTTGGGGATGCTCCGAGTGGAACTGTGGTGGGGGAGGCGGGTCTAATGCTGCGTTCTTTGCCGCGTGTCATTGCCCCGCCAGCCCGGAACCAACATCATAAGCATCAACTTCTTCCGTCTGTTCCGCGTGATGCGCCTCGTCAAGCTCCTGAGCAAGGGCGAGGGCATCCGCACCCTCCTCTGGACCTTCATCAAGTCCTTCCAGGTGAGGGACCTGTCTTTACCACGCCAGCTCTTCCTCTATAGGTCTACTTGCAGCCCGAAATTCGGCTATCAGCGCATCATAATACTTAGGCGGATTAGTATACGTAACATATATTTAGTTTAATTTAAATTCCAACGTATTTATTCAGGCGAAAGTCTTATATGTCTCACCGTTCAGTCGACCTTCAAAGTCCTCGAGTGAAAACACGTCGGCAAAACGAAAGATACAAAAACGTTTACGTGACCACTCAGGCCAATTAGAGGCAATGAAATTAAGAAGGATGACTAAGCGAATTAAGATTATGACTCAGCACATTGAGAAGGGTGACTCAACACATTGAGAAGGATGACTCAGCGCATTAAGAAGGATGACTCAGCACATTCAGAGTCTTTAATGCATCGGCGCTTGGGCTTTCGCCTACAAGTCGTCTTAGGGATAACTTAAGAGACCCTGTGAATTAAAAAAAATAATGTTCCGAAAGGAAGACTAATGCGAGCTGGGCAAAAATTACAAAAAAAAATGGTCAAAAAAAGCAGAATGACGAGAATATTACCTTCCCCAGGGATTATTCTCGTCCTGATAACATTTTCATCGGCGTTTGCCGGCCGTCAACCCCTGATCGTTAAACTCAACTGCACAAACCGCATGCATCTAACTTCCACTGTTTTCTTTTTTCTTTTTTGCAACTTTGTTAAAATTAAATTTGAACACCCTCTATACGTATATACCAGGGGTGGCCAAGCTGCGGCTCGCGAGCCGCATGCGGCTCTTTGCGTGTCAAGGTGCAGCTCGCGGCTCCCTCCTCTACCTCCCCCTCCCCCCCCCCCCCCCCACACACACACACACACACACTTCGCCACTTCGCCGCCTCCCGAGTACTTCCCCAAAAAGAGAAATGGAACACGTTTAAATCGAAAGACAGGTTGTGGATCGGTCGTCTTGTGCTACTACTACCTTACGTAGAGTTGAACTGCTTTTGACTCGGATGTATTGAAAGTAGTTCAAGTTTCGTTTATTACTCTGAACAAAAGTTTGCCCCCCCCCCCCCCCCCCCCGCCCCCGCGGCTCTTGGAAGTTTCGTGGTTTTGACTGTGACCCTTAGGCCAGGTCAGCCTGGCCACCCCTGGTATATACATATGTTCCAGGCACGTTTTAATGAACCTCGCTGGTGCCTGCCATAGAGAATAAAAGCGTAAAAAATGCAGGTGTTGGCGACTCCTGCGCATTCGTGATCGCTTCACAAAGCCCCGAATAACGAAACAAAACGCGTGAATGCGGATCGCAAGTTCGTCTGCTTCTTTTTTGTAGGGGTTGTGGTGACGCCAGAAAGACGGCGAGCTCTGATCGGCTCTGCTTGAAAGATGGGTAGACCTCAAGGCAGCTTGCTTGGAGGTCTTTCAATCGGAGTCAATCACTTACTGACGTTACCGCAACTCTTTCGCAAGAAGCAGACGACTTGCGCTCCATTAAGCTCTGCGTTCCTTTGACTACCGTTGACTGTAGCGACGACCGGTCGCCTGATGCTTAAACTTTGAATTCCTCGCAGCCGTCGTTTCCATATCGAAGGCTTCCTGTGTCTTGAACACGTAGCACAACCGCGCTACCGGATAAAAATGATAGCAACACTTTAAGGTGTCTGGAGCAATTGCTTTCCCGAGAAGCATTTGGGAAAGCGCCGCAATCTGCAGAGGGAGTGTGGCGAATGACGGGGGTGACACTGTTACGACGTGAAAATGCCGTCCGCGCTGTGGCATGCAGTGAGCGAGGTCACGGTGAAACGCTATGCTCAATGCCACTGTGCAGAGTGTTCACGTGGGTCTAAACACATTATAGGCCTCGGATATATAAAATCCCATTGGGCTGCGGCAAGGTTTACATAGGCCAGACCGCGAGGTGTTTGAACGAACGGTTGCGTGAACATGATATATCGCTGTGTTCAACAACAGCAGCACATTTACAGATACATTGCAGAGATTGACGTTGCATTCCCAACTTTCAAGGCACTACAATCGTTGGGAGAGGTAAAGAAAAAGTGGCGAGAGAGGTACTGGAAGCATACATGATAAAGAAGGAACGTCCTGATTAGTGTATCAGTCAGCCCTCACTTTTTCTTCACAGAAAAGAAGTGGATTTTATTGACTCGTGAGGTGGCCGAGTCATTGCTGACTTGTCACATTTCTGTAATATTTGTGGATTTTGCTGTTTCTGTTGTCCAATAAAACTTGTCCCGTTTGCCTCTCCGTCTTCGTATTCGTCTTTATTGTGTGCTTTCACTACTTTTCATCATGCATAACCAACTCGCCTGCATCGCTACGTTAATCCGATTCAGTGAGTGACGGGCTACGGGTGGAGTTTTCGAACGGCCAGTATTGAGGCTCGCTTGAGGTTCGGTCTTGAGTGCTCATCCTGCTGTTCTTTCCAGGCCCTCCCTTACGTCGCCCTGCTAATTGTGATGCTCTTCTTCATCTACGCAGTCATTGGGATGCAGGTGGGGATCTCCGTCACTATCTCACAATATTTTTTATGCTCAAGTCACGTTGTAATATTTACTTTTAAACATATAGGAAAGTTGCCCAGCATATAACAATCAATGTTCTTCTTCTCACTTTAGCGAGGCTCAACTCCGTAGGCGAACACAAAGGCTTGCGTCAAAGAGAGGATAGTCTTTTTCGTAGCGCAAACACACCGTAGCTTTAAAGGTACGGAACCAGCTACATGTACAGGTCCGCATATTGCCTATTTCCGTTACTTTGAACCGACAGGCGAACATTCAACGAGGTGAGAACGGTTTGCTCAAGTTGCATGATGCCTCCGTCTCGCAAACGGTCAGCAAGGAAGGCTTTCGCAGCCAATCCTTTGCCAACAACCTTTTTTGTCATACGTACCAAATTAGCTGAATATCCGCCTCATGTGTTGGCATTTGGTGTTTTCCAGCCCCTTGTGTTTGTATGGTGCCAGAGTAACGGAAATTACGTGTGCTCTAGACGCGAGTGTAGTTGCGAAGATGCTTGATAGTGTTAAAAACGAACTCTTTTTCACTGCAGCGGAGATATATGGTCTGCAACTTATACCTAACAACGTACCAATGCTGTCTCATAACACTTTGACACATGAATGGGAGTGTGCAAGAACAGTCTCTTTGATTTCAGTTGTTCGGCAAGATCGGCCTCGAGAACGACAGTGCCATTGACAGGAACAACAACTTCCAGACGTTTCCACAGGCTGTGCTTGTATTGTTCCGGTAATTCCCTTTCTGCTTAGCCTTTCGCACGTCCTAATCAGTTTTCACATCTCTATGCTATATGCCTTCTCAGGATTATCGCCCTTCTCAGGATAATCTAAGAGAACAGTGCCTTTGCACCATAGCTGCAAACTAGACGTGTCTTTAAACAATGGCCTCTTTACATTTTTGGCCTTTTCCTAACCATAATTAAACGAGCTGAAATCACTGCGCATCCCGAAAAATGTTGTGAAACTTAGGTTACTGTTTTTGGTCAACGCCCGTATTTGTTGTTTTCTGGTTTTTGTGGAGACTCGTTAATGCGAGTCTTCACTGATTGAAGGATAGTGGGTAGACCTCAAAGCAAGCTGCCTCGAGGTCTACCCACTGTCCTTCAATCAGAACCAATCAGAGCTCGGCGTTCTGACGTCACCACAACCCCTACTAAAAGAAGCAGACGAACTTGTGCTCCGCATTTAAAAAGAAGTGGGATGTAGAACAGTACCTACTGAGGTGAAGTAGCACAAGCACAAAGATTGGAAGAAGAATGGGACAAGACGGAGCGCTGCCTTTTCAGGTTTTTACTTTGGGTAATCGTCGTCAAAAACAAGCTGAAAGGCACACTTCTGAAATGTTAATAAATTATTTTAGTATTGTTATTACCGTAGCGCATATATGAAAATGACATCAGCTCGTACGCCCCTAGTTTGTTCGAAGCTGCTTATGATTTCCATCGCAGGTGCATAACACAAACTATAGTGCAAGAAAAAAAAAATTTGCGGGACATTTTTTAAAGGTATACAAAACCCCGTCACCTAATCCACTTGATGATCGTGGTTATGGAGTTTAGTTACTGCGCAGGCGAGCTGGTAAACGATATTAGTGATAAGAAAACCCCTTAAGATTAGATACGTGAAAAAGGACAACATAACACCGTCATGTGAGACGGTGTTGTGTTGCTCTTTTTTGACCCTAGTATCTAAGTTTGCTTCTTTTCGTTTATGCGGTTTTGGAATTATGAATAATCTACTGTACTCATCACCACATTAAAAAAAATGTTCTGCTCATTATTCATGCAATGTGCGAAGTAGTTCTTGCAAGATTTGGTTAATATTGTGTTTGAAACATTTACATCTTGATAAAAGAACACCCTAATCTAAGTTGCAACTACATCCACCTGAATTCAACGCATTATAGAGGAAATTAGTAATGTTCCGTGGGGGCCTGCCGGACCATATTTACTGCGATGCTGTTCTTGAAGTGAACACGAGTATAGAAAAGAGCAGCGAAATCTCTTAGACAGGTTCATGAGCTGCGCGATTTGCTCGCCCTTTATGACACCAATTCAATTTTTGGAGGCCGTCGTTGTGTGAACCAGTGGCGCACATGGGGCTACTCCTTGACCTTTGGCAAAGTTATCGGGTAGCGAGGGTACAGATGGGTTCAGAGGCCCGATTTGACGAGTCCCGCTGCGTGCAGATCCGCCACCGGCGAGTCCTGGCAGGAGATCATGCTGTCATGCCTGAACACAAAGGAGGCCAAATGCGACAAGTCTTCAGAAGAAGGGGACCAGGCCCCATGCGGGAGCGACGTTGCCCTCATCTACTTCATCTCCTTCTACATCCTGTGCTCCTTCCTGGTACGCTATTTCTTCTCACATTTCTCGAACGCCCGCATGGTTTAAATCATGTTTCTGTATTTCGACCAAATAAACGGGATTTGCTGCACAGTGTTGTACGGAACGGCGTTCCGATTTCTGCTGAGAGGAGCGGAGGAACGCCACCGTTCCACCTTAGGTCGGTGGAAATGAAACGGGATCTCGTTACGTTTTCGAGGGAACGGGTTCCCGTTCCCTCGAAAACGTCACGGGTTCGTGTGTTTATCTGAAATTTTTACCGGAATTTTGCATGCATTGAGTACTTTTGGTAACGATTATGGCAATGTCCGTGATGACGTCTTCGCGGGATGGGGAAATATTCGAAGGAGAATCGAAAGAACGGACTGAACAGATCTGATCGCGTCGGCTGAACACGCATAATTCGTATAATGTAGTTTGATGTGGATTTTATCATTTCCTTGCTTAATTTCATCTACGAATTATTCAGCACGAAAATAATTAAAGTACGGAACTGTAACTTTAAAGTAACCATGCGTTCTAATCTCTTAAACGTGACGAGAAAATATTCTGCACTACTTGAACTTGTAACGAAAACTCGTTCTAAGGTTTAGAAGGAGCGATGGATGAGCTTTCGTTCGTGTTTTGGAGGAACGTTTATAACACCGGTAATTGCACCCAATTTCTGGTTGCAGTGGAAAGTAGCGTTGCCGCTTGTTACCAGTCACTGAGCAAATTAACAAATGAGTTTCCTACGAAAATAATTGATTTTGTGATAAAAATATTCAATAAAACTGAAAAAAATTCAACACACAACAGAAGAATGAATGAGGACCTGGTCTTAAACCGTCTTGACTAAATAAAGTTATCTTGAAGGTCAGTTTGAAACCAAGAGCTTGATTTACAGTGTTCAAAGGGAAAAAGGAGCGGTTCTGTATTTGAGCAAAAAAAAAAAAAAAAATACTTCAAGGGGCATTGAAGTGATGTCTGAGATCCTCGTTTTATTGTCATAACTCAATCTACGAGCTTTAAAAAAAACTGAAATTACATTTATACAAAAGTTATCAAATTCCCGGCACTTGCCATCGGCGCAGACGACAGATGGCGCTACCGAACTATGCTGTATATGGTCGAACGACGGACGGCGCTTGTCGGTCAATCTAGAGCGACGAGTTCTCGCGCCGATGATCTGGACTGGTCGACCGCTCGTCCACGCGAGAACCCATCGCCCGCGAGTGGCTGACCGACCGTCGTTCGACCATATTCAGCAAGGTTCGGTAGCGCCATCTGTCGTTCTGTGCCGACGGTAAGTGTCGGGAACTTCTATCACTTTTTTGAAATGCAAATCGGCCACTCATGAACGCGATTTTGGGTTGTTTAGGATGCGTAGAACTCGTCCATTGAGTTATGACCATATAACGAGTATCTCAAAAAGCACTTTACTGCCCCTTTACATCGTTTTTATTTGGCCTCCGAAAATAGGAATATGAAAATTATGTCTCAGACTGATGCGCCAGGTAGCCACCACAGCACTTGCAAAATAGCGTTGAAGCTTCCTTCCCGCCACGTTCGGTGCCAGGAGGGAATCATGACGTAATATACGTAGATCTCACCATTCCCATGCTTTTCGCAAGCTTACCGGAGCAGTCAATAGCGCTGCACGTGTTTCCTCACAGGCGGCACGCGCGAGATAGCTGAAGGGTATGACGTCACGCCCAGCGGTTGGTTTTCCGGTTCTTTTCGAGTCTATGAATATGGTTGGGACAACTGTTTGTGATACTGCAAAACCCTTTATGTTCGCGGCCCCTATTTTTCGCAAATCGGACACAGAGGTCATAATCGCGGCCACTACATTTCGAGAATTCCAGACGCGCCAGCCTTGAAACTCAGATAGAAATTTTCGCGTGCCCTTAAATTTTGCGAATTTTTCAATTCGTGAAATTCGCGAAAATTAAGGGCGCTCGAACATTAAGGGTTTTAAAGTATTCAAATTCACAAGTCAAACATTCAATAAAATTCACCTCTCACTCGTTTTTTTTTTTTTTTTGTTAAGAACCTTTTTAGCTTGTTTTTTTTTTTTTTTTTCTTTTTCTGAAGCTCGAAATTGTATTTTTTGTATGTCTGTATACTTCATGCTATGTCGTTCTTTGTATCAGACTTTCTCTTATCTGTTTTTGTTTTTTTTTTCGTTTGTGGATGGCGCCTTTTACTAAAAAAACTTTTTTTTCTTTTTTTTTTTTTTTGTTTGATGTTTAATATGGTCTTTTTAACTCAGCACTGTATGTGAACTCAACAGCAATGACGTTTTCTGGGTCCCCCTCCGCAGATCATCAACCTGTTTGTAGCAGTGATCATGGACAACTTTGATTACTTGACACGGGATTGGTCCATCCTGGGGCCTCACCACTTGGACGAGTTCGTGCGACTGTGGTCAGAGTATGACCCGGATGCCAAGTGAGCCAAAACGCCGACAGGTGGCGAGAAAGATGTCTCCTCTTAGATATTCGCGAGCAGATCGTCATAACAAAAAAGGACTGCAAGTTTTGATGTCACTTGTCAGCAGGCTGGCGAACACGCCTCTTGCATGTTCTCTACCCAAACCGCCAATGTTGCATCTTTCGCAACATTGCATCCTAAAACTATGCTCATTGTATTCAAAATAAAGAAAAAAAAAATCTTGGACTGAGAACGCGTTGCTCAGGAGCACAAAAGGACGCAATACGAAGTGGAGAAATAAGGTATAAGAGATGCTGCCGTTCTAAAGCCTAAAATGCTTTTTAGCCGAACTGCCTCCTCCTCACCTCCCCGGCCAATCCCAAAATTTTGTCCGTCCTTCCGCCCGCCCATACATTTCCCGATAAATGTAACAGAAAAATCGACGTCACGTGACCAAGCACCAATTCAGTTACCCCGCTATATTTAGTGTGGAAACTGATGTTCGGTATCCTGACGCCAAGAGACCTACAGACCAACTCAGTTTCCCCGTTAAATTTTGCTGAAAAATTTGACTTCACGTGGCGTATACACCAATTCAGTTTCTCCGCTAAATTCGGCGAGGAAATCAGTGTCACGTGATTTGACGTTACGTGACGTGATATTTTTTACGGGGAAAATCGAGGTGTAATATTTTTTACAAAGTCACGCTCCCCGCTAAGTTTAGTGGGCAAATTAAAAACAATATAGTTTATTCTTCACTTCTCAAATTCAAACGATCGCTGCTTAGAAACAGCGTTTCATGCATTAGGTCACTTTGGAGGAAAAGATCGCGGTCAATATTTTTCGACTATTTAAAACTCTGTCGGCCATTGTAATTTTAAAAAAAAAAAGTGTCAACGTGCTTTCTCAGAAAGATATTCGAGAAACGCACAGGGACAATCCCATGCGAACGGTGCTGCCGGAGGCAACCTTTAGATACACCCACGCATCGTGTCCGAAACCGGTATTCGTCGGCCGACGCACCCTTGCAGAGGCCGGATAAAGCACTTGGACGTGGTGACGCTGCTTCGAAAGATCCAGCCTCCCCTGGGTTTCGGCAAGTTGTGCCCACACAGGGTGGCCTGCAAGGTGAGCTTCGTTCTCATACATCGCGTCGCTTCAACTGTCTAATGGGTGCGGCCGTAAGGATCGGCATATTTGGCACGCCTTGCCAAATTCCGATTCTAAACGTACGCAACTGAAACTGGGCACGCGAATGTCGTCCCGCAAAACCTTTGATGTCTATTTTGCTTAGAACTCAACTCAAGGTTGTTAAAATCCTAAAAATAGTGCAAACACGGCGACTGTGCATTTCCTATGTCCCATACAGGCCTGTTTATCGTCTCTACACTGCTTTGCGAGTTCGTTCCCGGGCGGCTTGCTGAACGCAAAAACACGTAAGAGAGGCTAGCGACGAGCAGGATAAGCGCGAGAAGTTACGAATTTAACAAAATGCACGAACAATGACCACCGGAGAGAGTTTGCAAACCATTTTGAAGACGACGAACAAGTCGGTATATAAGCAACCGGAAAGAATAAACACAAATTCGGGACTGAAAGAGTTGTATCGTCTGTTTGCGTCCCGAATTTGTGTTTATTCTTTCCGGTTGCTTATTTACCAACACGCTCGTTTTTTAATGTTAAGTCGGTATAGGACATAGGAAATGCTCGACCGACGTTTCTGCGCTATTTTTAATATTTCACCGTGTCTACGTTCAGCTCTCAAAAAAGTAAACATACAACGTTGTTGTTGTTGTTGCTGTTGTTGTTGTTGTTGTTTTGCAAAACGAGCTTCGCGTGCTTAATTTCGGGTGTGTACATATGAAATTCGAATTTTGCGAGGCGTGCAAAATGTGCTGGTTCTATAAGGCCGCACCCTATATGTAAGGCATCAGGTCGGAGGATTGTAGACGATATGCCAGTTTGATTGGCCTAGGACGTGCAAACTCTTCTAGTGAGTCGTTTTTGTTTTTTTTTAGTTTTGAAGGCCAAACAAGCATTTTATTACGCCCATATAGTCTTTACTCGTTGTAACGTTTATACAAGATACGTTTTATTTATTTATTTATTTATTTAGTCACTTCATGTCCCCTGCTTTGTATTTAGGCTGAAACAGAGCGTAGCGATAGCACGTCTTGCAATAATGCCCGGGCGGGGTACATCTGTTTTTATGACAACCTCAAATGCAAAATTCAGGGCGAGCCATATTCGATTGTAGGTTTTCGTGCTCGTTATGTAATCACTCATAAGTCATAAGGCCCATAACGGCTGACGAGGTGCCATTACCTAGTCCTCCAGAGGTCTATGACCGCCATTTTAAATCTTGATGAGTGCACCCTTACCTTTTTCACGTCGATTGAATTCTGATGCACTGTGACTGTAAGCCTTGCCATAGAACAGTCCCGTGAATGTTTCTTTTTTTTCTTTAATTTATTTTCTCCGAACTTGCGCGATAAGGTTGGCGCTCATTTACGAAGCGACGGCATTGGTCCCTCTTCCGCAGAAACTGGTGTCGATGAACATGCCGCTCAACAGCGACGGCACTGTCATGTTCAACGCCACTCTGTTTGCTGTCGTCCGCACCTCGCTCAAGATCAAGACGGACGGTAGAGACCTTCACCCTTTCTCCGCACTGCTACTTCACTTAACGCCTACGGTGGATTCAAAGCACCCTTCTATAAGTATAAATAAAATAGGCTGCCATCGACTTGATTAAGTTTAGCCAGCGTATTGGTAAACTACTGGTGAGCATGATATACAAGATGAATATCCTTATCGTATGTACCGGAAAGTTGCATAGTTTGTATTGGTCTGTGAAGTCCTTTCCTCACAACTACCACGGCCGCTTGCTTGAAGTATACTACTTCTAGAGTTAGAAACACCAATATCTTTGATGGCACTTTCTCACATTGTGACAAACTAAAACGATTCAATCATAAGAATGGTCGGAGAGAGATGATGACAATTAGGGGCAATATGTATCGTTGGAAAGCCTAAATGAATGTCTGAATGTGTGCGCACAGGAAACATCGACACTGCCAACGAGGAGCTGAGGGCAATCATCAAGAAGATTTGGAAGCGCACGAGCCCCAAGCTATTGGACCAGGTAGTTCCCCCCGCAGGTAAGAAACTGCTCTCCCACCTGTCCCCGAAGCAGGGATGCATCTCACTGTGGCGATACATTCTGAACGTTCGCAACATCTGCGTTTTTTTAGATATTAATTGATCGATTTTCATGTTTTTTAGTCAGATTTCAAGGATTGAGTGCGAAAAGAGCACCGCAAGCCCTGCCACCCTTCCAACAATGGCGCTTAGAACAGTGGTATAGTCGCCTTAGTCCCGTCGTCACTTGTGTCGCCGGCGCACTTACCAAGGACACACTGCCGAGTCATTGTGGGCAGGGCTTGCGGCGCTCTTTTTGTGCGCAATATCTTTAAATCGTGGGAAAATACAAAATCATTATAACATAATATCTAAAAAATTGAAATTTTCGAAAATTCCTGCAATTGGTCTAGCATCTAAAGGTAATTGCAGATCAATACTGCGATTGCAACATGGTCTCAAAAGCCAATAATGAAAAAGTTAATTAACGTATTGTATTTAATTAGCCAACGTACCATGAACATTATCGCCTCATCTAATGTCCGCGAAGCCTGATAATTACACGATGAAGACAGCACCCGTCTAATTTCCAGTCCCCTAGAATAAGAAAAAACTGTTTGAATTTAAATTAAAAGGCCTGAATACTATTACATGTAAATTGGTTTTACTGACAACTCAATCCATACCCTATTGAAAAATCTAATTTGTATGGGAAATTTCTGTGTCCAATACACAGATATAAATCATACAAGATATAAGAACATATACGAACCATATAATAAACTTGTGAAGAGTTTCCTGTAAGTTTCTTATATCTTCTTTTATAACTTATATGGTTCTTAAATAGTTCTTATATGTTCTTATATATATTGTATGGTTCATATGTGTTGGTTGGACACAAGACATTTCTCATACAAGCAGCCTTTTCACTAGGGTAGTTACTCAGAGAAATGTATAGACAGCTTAAGAAGTGGCACCTGCAACGCAGCGGACGATGATGTGACGGTCGGGAAGTTCTACGCCACCTTCCTGATCCAGGACTACTTCCGACGGTTCAAGAAGCGCAAGGAGGAGCGAGCATCCCAGAAGGAACCCAACGAGAGCACCGTCGCCCTGCAGGCACGTCTGCCATCTTTGAGGCCGCACAGTGCGAGATCATGGACACGCGTTTGCCCTACTCTGCCGCAGGCGGGTCTTCGAGAGCTGCACGAGATGGGACCCGAGATCCGGCGGGCGGTGTCGGGAAACCTGGACCAGGATTTCGAAGAAGGACAGGACAACGAACCAATGCACAGAGTAAGGACAGTCGCGCCAGTCTCTTCAGTGCTGGAGTACCTCGATGGGCCCCCTCTTGCTGTTGTTCTTGAGCTGTTGGCGCTACCCGAGAGTAGGTTCGCCAGGTTGGACACCAGTTGCGCGTGTACTTAAGCCTAAGAACACTTCATTTTTACGGACGGATTTGAGTGCTTTTGAGTATTCTAGAGTCGTGGGTATTATAATGTAAGCAACGCGCATACGTTGGTCATGGAATAACGGCTCTGTGAATATCTTTCGAAATACAAAATAAACTCATGGATCTGGTTAGTGCCATTTCATTTTATGCGCATGAAGGGCATGCGAAATATACATTACTATAAATAAAGCAATCTACGTAAAAAGAAACATGCCAGGTAATTACATACGAAGAACGTGACACGATAAATCTTTTTGTCGAGTGATGTCTTTGCGCAACCGAAAATTTAGCAAGCATTGAACGAAGATTAATTTTACAGTAGGAAGATTCTGATCCATTTTGCTATATAACACGCGTACAGGCTTTAGACAATGTAGCCCCGGAGGGCGGAGAGGAACAACCCAAACTCAAAACAATTCGTGTTTTGCGTTGGGGTTGTCTCTCCCCACGCTCCGGACTTGCAATGTCGGTTTTCATGGCCAGGTCACTCGCACACTCGACTTGGAGCTTCAGCAGTCGCTTAATCTCGACGGAACCACACGCAGCGGAACCACACATTGTTCGGAAGCATGTGGTCCTCGATGCGGGCGGCCAGTCGACCGGGCGGTGCGGGGGCCCGGGGCGGCACGCCGCACCACCACGGCTACGCCCACGCCCGGGTGTCTCCCACGGCCTCGCTGGACGTGTCCGTGCGACCACACCAACGCCGGCCCCGCCACGACAACCACGTGCAGCTGCGGAAGGACGGCGGGCCGCCCCCACTGAGACGCCCCAGCTCGTCCAGGTGAGCGCGCGTGACCTCGTGCAGCAATCCCGAAAGGCTTGCGACGAATTATGGGAACTTCCTGTACACTCCTCCTCCCTCTTGCAGCAGCCTCAGTAGTAGGAAAAGTGTACCACTCCGGCCAGATAACGATCAAACATATGTTTCCGATATCGGGGTGTCCGGTGTCTCACATCCATACTATTTACGATATCGTTACGCGGGCCGATATCGGAAACATATCGATATCGGAAACATGTTCGATCGTTATCTGGCCGGAGTGGTACACTTTTCCTACTACTAGCGTGTCAGTAGTAGGAAAAGTGTACCACTCCGGCCAGATAACGATCAAACATATGTTTCCGATATCGATATGTTTCCCACATCGGGGTGTCAGGTGTCTGACATCCATCCTATCTACGATATCGTTACGCGGGCCGATATCGGAAACATATCGATATCGGAAACATGTTTGATCGTTATCTGGCCGGAGTGGTACACTTTTCCTGCTACTAGCGTCCACCACGTGACCCTCAAGTTGCGTGTCACGCTGATTGTGCGCACGGTGTTCGTTGCAGACATGCGGACATCGGCGGATACGCGTCAAATATGTTATATGCTTAGAACATGTCTGCAGACAGTTTTTGTATGACCAGCGTGGCCGTCATGCACGTAAGAAACACGTCTCAGGCAGTGTCTGGAGGCTGTCTTTTGTATCATATACTAGCAGTGCGACCACAACTTTACGAAGAAACACAGCGATTGTACAAGGTGAATTCTTTCATAATCCGCTCTATTTATAGGAGCCAAACATTCGGACCAAGATGACAAGCCACGTGTGGTCTTCGCCGCACTATATTCGCAACTTCAACTATTTTGGGACGAAGGAACAGGGGGAGCTAGAGAAGCGCGGGCCTTCAGTCAGAGACAAGCCGCTACCTGGCGTTTCGGGAGAGGAATCAATAGAAGGAACGACTTGTATTTATCCAGCGTGCATTTAGTACGCTTTTCACTGTTGCACAAATTGGCCACCAGTACCCGCCACTTTTCGCTGCAGTCTTAGATGGGCGGTGGCTCCCCTCTTCTCCTTCGCGCCTTTTCCGCTGGGTGGCTTCGCTTCCTTTGAAGTTGCCAATAGCAGGGACGCGGGATGCGTAAATTATTTATGTACCGCTTCTCCGTCTTTAACTCAGCCGATGAAATAGAATTATTTGATATAACTTCCTGACCAATACAGATACAGATGGCAACAAAAAATGATGCCCTGAAAAAACTTAAAACCTTCGACACTAATTAATAAATGACTCTAATCGTAACGAAGGGAAGACGTTGTTAAAAAGGCGCTATATAGTAATGGCCGTTCTTTTTTCCCTCAATTGGTGCGAGCTAAACGAACGCACCAGATTCATGGTCTTCAGTATTAAAATTACTCTGTTTCGAGTGATTCTGCATGTCAAATGGTGTACAAGTGGCAGACATTTCCCAAGCTGCTACGTCGTACAATAAATTAATGCCTCGACCCGCCAACCAATTAAAGTGTGTGTGCTTAGGAAGAGGGCAATACACTGAGTTCTCCTGGCAAAGCGCCACAATTTCGAAAAAGAAACCTCGTAACTATTTTTAATGTATATTTGAGTAGCAGTCGCGCGTACACAGATATGCTTGATTCGCTCAATATAATATCCCCCAGCAAAAATAGCGCCTTTCCCGTCTCTTCCAGCCAATGCAACAACATCATCGTCTATGTCACATCATATTAGCTTTCGCAAAAGACGAAGCTCCAGTCACACTTAAAACAACGTACCATCCGCTTCCCCAGTTCACACAAGCCCACCTCAGCTGCACACCACAATTTTCGCACTGCGAACACTCCCACGCTTTGCACTTAATCCCTCTAAGCAAGGGCTCGGACAAGACCCTTGTGTACAGGCAGCCCGTGCTGTTGTTTCTTTCGTTTTATATGGCCGTTAGGAGGGCTCCGTAGTGTTACGGGTTCTTTTTGTTTACGTACGAAGAACCGTTCACGAACATCGGACCGTCCATCAAAGGGCCGGAGGGCCGCTGGTATTTTAGTATGCTATTACTATCCTCCGTAAAGCGCAAGGAGCCCTTCTAACGACGCAATTCCATCCGTGCGACTGATGTGGCCATAGTCTCCCCCGTGTTCATGTCGTAGCTTGGCTTCGGGGTCACAGGCAACTAAACGACGGCAGGGCATGGCAAGATATGACCCCATATGTTTTTTGCTTCCTGATATCTCTATTTCTTTCTGCGCGGTTGAGGCTGCAATGTCATTGGCTGCGACGACGTGATATACTCGGAGAGTCCAGGCTCGCCATGCCCTTCCATATCGTGCTCGCATGTGACCCCAAATTCGAAGCTTCGTGGTCGCTCTGAATTCGACGGCTGTGCAATGCCTCGAGTGTTTGGAGGTGTATGTGACCATTGCCTGTTGTATTCATGTGGCCAGAGGCAGCTTACACGATGTTCGCTATGTGTGCTTTTCTTTATGCGCTCTGCTCTTTTCGGGGCTCGGTGATTTATCTGGATGCGAACGGACTCTGGTTCTCGCGGCCTTCTTTTAACACAACGTTTTTCAGCATAATGAATCGCCATCTTGTTTTACGAAGAGCAAACTGGCCTTGATCGCCATCTTTTTCGTTACAAATAAACAGAAAGTTCACCGGAAGTACTACGAGGGACAGAACGCTTCACGTGTGCTTCGGGAATCAAGGCGGTTGTCGCCTGTATTTTGTGGCTTCAGGCCTGATAAAACTTTACCATGACCGGCCAGGCGAGAGTACCATGACTGGCGTATGCAGTAAAAGGAACTCCGCTACCTACGTACCGGATAGCATAAGCCGTCCAGTACGTAGGTAGCGGATTTAAAGATTAAAAACAAATATGACCACCGAAGATGTATTGAGTTACTTGTTTCGCATCTCTCGGTCAAGGTGAAATTCGGCTTTCTGGGCGTTTTCACGGACGAGAACCAGAGATCTGAGCTCCGGTTTGCTCTCGTGTGCTTTCGGTGGCGGTTCTTGTCGCAAACAGCTGGACGGGCCGCGGCTGTCCTGCTTGCTTCGGCCGTGCCACCGCCTCGCCTCGCCGCACGGCTGGATGACGAACCGCGTCGGGTTTCCTCTCCAGACGCGTCTGTCTTCGTGCACGCTTTGTGCTTCCCGTGTGCAGTGTGCTCCCTCGCACGTGCATTTTTCCGCACTATCTGTTCCGTAATGTGAATGCCTCGCTCTGCGAGTGACCATCTCCAACCGCCGAGTGAGCCGTTCCTGTCTACGTGGAGACGCGGGGCCACCCACTTATCTCTGACTATTTGCTAAATCGCGATTGCCCAGCTCCGCCTATGCACAGGAATATGGCCACGGTCGGCCATCTTTTTGGTAGAGTTATATTATCTCTAGCCATCACAGTCATATGGCGGACCGCACTGTGGCGGCAGGCTGCCATAAAACTAGCCGTGGGTTTAGTCTACTGTACCGTGAATGAAATTTTGTGCTTGATTGAAGTTGCTCGACAAAGCAGATTCTTGAAACTCGGCGGATGCGACAGAGGAAGGTCGACTACGCCGTCATGCTGTGCGGCGCGCTGTTCAAATCGCCCCGATAGCGAAAAGACAAGAATTTATAATCGGTAAGAATTCAATGTTTTGTGGCTATCCTGGCGCGCAGAGGTATACGTTCAGTGAAAAATATTTGTTTGTTCCAAAGGCTTCCACGAAGTCGCCCCGCGACCCTTCAGCTGTGGGTGGAAAAGGTGTACCCTATTTAACGTGAGGAAGGATGCGTCACCATGCTACTATGGACTGGCTAGACATAACATAACTTTACCAAAAAGATGGCCGACCGCGGTCGCATTCGCGGAGTGGGCAAACGCGATCCAGCAAATAGTAAGGGAGACCAATGGGGCCACCAAACAAAGTCCGCCATTCATATCCCTCGTGCACGCAAACACTCCCATTTATATCCGTGAAAGCGGGTCTTTTTAATATTATAGTGGTGAAACACACAGTGGCCCAAGTGTGGTTTGCACGTTTGGACTTAGGGCAGAAGTCGCAACGAGTAAAACGAGTAGACTTTCCTATATGTAAAGCATTTTTTTAGATTGTTCACGCGGCTGAGGCTGTGACCACGGTTGATTCAGAGGTATTTTCGAGTCCCCGCCTCATACCAAGGCTCTATACCTACAGGAAAGCATGCACGACGTTATCGTCCCTTGTGGGTGTTGAAAGAGCAGTGGAATCGGTCTTGAATTAAATCGCTGAAGAAAAGTGCACCAACGTTGTGAGCTGCCTTCTAATAGACAGCGTGGCTCGCATAAAGCCTCGCAGTCAACCCATTACCGGTCCCAGGCTGCACCCCTCATGGTACCATGCAACCTGCATAAGATTTCCGGTTGGGATTCCGTCCCGATTGTAATGCTCCGCGCGTTGGTATACGTGAAAGAGGGAGGTTCGAGAGCAGCAACTGGACAGTGTGGTTAGACTACGCCAGCTAGAAGACGAGGCCAGCGGTTCGGAGATCCACGCACGATGACGTCACACGCAGGCCTTGTCTTCTAGCGGGTTTGGATCGCCCTTCGGGGGCTATGGTGTCTTGTGAGCGGTGTCCGTTGCACGTCTTCCTCCGAAGTGGGCCCAGAGGGCGAGGTGAGCGCGTGTCCTTGGAGCCGTCCCGCGAGCACTAACCCCGTGCCCCCCGCTAACACGCGACCCGCAGCAGCAACGGTTCTTCTGCCGACGACCCCGACGGCATCGCCGCACCGTCTTCGTCCCCATCGGGCACGACGACGAGGCAGGCGGCTTCGTTGTCCCCCGGCAGCTCACCGCGCCAGGGCAGGGCGTCTGCGGCCTCTTGCGCCGGCAGCAGCTCGCTCTACGACGACGACGAAGAGGCGGCGGCGCGCAGCGAGACCATCCCCCTGCGAGCTCTGCGCCGCTCGCGGTCGGCGCGCGAGGCGTCGCAGGACAACCTGCCCAGGGCCTTCAAGAGCGTCTTCAGACCCGAATTCTACTTCCGACCCCAGTAGGTGCAGCCCCGCCTTCTTCCCTGCCTGTCCCCTCGCTCCCTCGCCAATCGTTTTTTTTTTTTTTTATTATTATTTACAATTAGTGCTTACGAAAGCACGATGAGGCATTCGCACGGAATTTAAAAAGACCTGCGTCATGGAAGTTTTTGGAAGGATAAAAGCCACAACGGGAATGTTGTAAAATGGCTTTGGGTCCGTCGCCCTCTGGCAGTCTTTCCAAAGCTGAAAACTCTAGCGAAAAACGCCGAGTCAGTGAACTGTGCAGACATTCGAGGCTTGTGATATTCCGAAGGAAAGAGCCACCGCACCTGCCCAGAGCGCCTTCCACACCTCAGTACACAAAAATGGCAGCGCGCCGAAGGCGATCTCTGGAATAGTACGGGGGACTCCAGCGAAATCGATGGCCCCTCGAGGCTAGAACAGAAAGTTGTGGCGGATGGTTCGCTCGCCAGCATTCTCAGGCAAATCATAATTTCACAGCACTGTAAGGACGAGGCCGTGGAAGTAGGTTCGTAAGCACGGGACAAAAATCACCGATAGTTCGTCCTCGGGGTTTCGGACGGGTCGCACGCGCTTCCTTGCCGGAAATGTCTCGCGCGTATTTTCAGGAGCTTCTCTACGTGTCTTTAAACAGTCCTATAGCCATTGCGTTCCATTCACCCGCCGCCAGACCTTTCACAAAACCTCGCCTCTATTTTGGCAAGTAAGAAAACTCGGAGTTCTTCCGACATGTTCCCCTCCCGATATCAGTCCGCAGTCAATAACATTGCAGCAGAAACCGCGAAAGAAGAAAAAAGAGATCGAGCAGGAGGCAAACGGGATGGGCATGAGGGATAGCACCCCGCGTTTCACTTACTTGTCAATGCCGCCATTATTTAATGGCGTGCGTTCATTGTTCTTCCAAGCTTAATCGGGAGCATTTTCCAAGCGGCGTTCCTAAGACCATTTTCGTGCCACGCCTTCTATTTCCCGCTTTGTCCCCTAGTTGTGTAAGGTTGACAGCGATGTCCTAGAGTCGATTCATCTGCGCGTGAATCGTTCCCTCCGAATCACTTTCATTTCGACAGAAAGTAGAGCTGGTGTACTTCAAAGTCTGGAATCCCTGGCAGCCGAAGAGTAAATATATACCTTGGAGCACTGTCCAAGTCCGGGATAGACGCACCCATATGCATGAGAGACTTCAAGGTTTGAGACTCCGCAGGGTTGCGGCTCGCGCAGCCTACGCTTGTCAGGGCAAGCCGGCGTACGACACAGAGACTTGGCGGACGTCACTACTCTCTCTATGCGCGCTGTTTGATTGGCCTCTTTGGCTCGTCGTAGCATCGGCTGCGCTCTGACTTTTGGTGAGACGAAGCAGAGCTGCAATGGGATTCAGTCTCTCTGAATCCACATTTTCTTCAACGTACGAAAGACCTTCGCATGATGTTAGCTCTTCCAATATATAATATCAATCATATTTGAGCATGCGCATGAAAGACTAGCTAAGATATGGGCATGACTAACTCTAATCAAAGCCTGCTTGCTGAACTAAAATAAACTGCAAGCAAGATGCCGGTTTTACGGGGGCTTGTGTTTAAATTTTGGCTTTTATGACATCGAAATTGCGTCCATTTATACGTGGCATTACGTTAGTCATGTAACGTTTACGACACGGACGGCTTCTCTTAAGAGCGGTCCTTCTGAAAAACTATACTGTATTCAAAACCTCGCGGTTCCCAGTACACAATAAATTGAAGCAAACCATCGTACGAACAGTAGCCGAGCAACATTGCGTAGCCTGGCAGGCAAATGATTCTTTTATAATGTCAACCCACGCAAAGCAAATAATTTTAATTTTTCGAATGTAACATCTGAGTATACAACTTTCAAAAGTTCGAAGCTTATAAACTCATAGAAAAACCGTCAGTTTACCCTTCATTGACAGAACTTAGTTCTCATGTCGATGTTTCATTTTGATTGACGTGCGCACTTTCTAATCAATTTTGAAGTTCTGTCAGTAGAAGACAAAGCTATGAAACAGATGAGCTGGTTAACGTGTGTGTGTGTCCTTTTGTCTTCTTGTCGTCCGTTCGTCTCCGGTTTAGCATTACTCTCTGTCAGTACCCCTGTCGCAATGTGCCATGTGTTACAGTATCAGCAAATACAATTTTTCATTTTCCAAATGCAAAATTAAAACTGTACATGCGGTGTTTGAACATGTCACATGGCATTTTAATTGGTCGCACCCTCTGTTCGATCACAGATATTGGCTATCGAAACGGAACGCTCTTGTTGACGAAAAAAAAGAACAACATAAAAAAGTATTAGAAAGGCAAAGCGAGGGTTGTAACTCGGTGACAATTCAAGTTCCTCCGTGCATGACAAAAAAAAAAAACAAAAAAAAAAAGAAACCATATAACTATAGGTATAACTTGAAAGCTAAATTTGTGGTGTGAATGTCCTCACGCTAACCGCCTGGAGCGCTCAGCTTGGTTTTGCGTGCAAGAAGTGTTGCGGTTGCATGGCTCAAACCTCCCGAGTGTCGTGGCGTCCGGAGTGGTGTGCTGTGTGCCAGCTAACCTCCCCCCCCCCCCCCCCCCTCCTCCCGCGTAACCAAGCACGAGTGCCGACGACGACGACGAAAGCTACGGTGGCGGCGCGGCTCGGGCCCCCACGCCGCCCCCTCGGCGCGGCCTGGTCGGGGCGGTGCGCACAGGCAGCTTCCGACTGCCATGCCTGAGCAAGCAGGACAGCCACGAGCGGCCCATCCTGAGCTGCAGCTCGAGCTCGCACGAGACGCCGCCGCCGGGACCCTCTACGAGGCGCGCCCTGGCCATGCACAGGATCGCGGCGTCGCTGCGCCAGGCGCCGCTGCCGGCCATGGCCGTCGCCGGCATGGTGGCAGCACCGGCGAGTCCCGCCGCGATCCGAGGAGGCAGTCCAGGACGCTTCCTGCCCACACACAGGGCATCCTACCACGGTGAGTAGTACGCTCTGCTTCAACTTAACCGCAGCCAACGATTGGCGGACGGAAGAGGAACACAAATATTTCAATGGGGATTAAATTATATACGAGGAATAATTCGCGGATGGAGATTAAAAGAATTGGTACAACGCCCTACTGTTCGCGAGCTCAGTGTGAACGCTCTGCTCGTCTAAGCAGTTCTATAGCAGGAGTGATGTGTACTGAAGCGTCTGTAGCCCGTAGTTTGCTCTAGTGGCAACCCCCGGGACCCGGCGCTGCGCACTCCGTATTCAATATTTAGTGGGAGAATTCGGAGAGGGTTTGAAAGTGAGCGGAAATTTAACAAATATGTGTGGCACGTAATGTTTTCGCTAAAATAAGGGGAAGGGAGGGGGAAATTGAAATGATGTATAATTACCGTAAAATCCCGAATGAACGCCCACTCCCGAGAAATCGCCCACCTCATATTTTCCCCCTCGGGTGTGCGAAAATCTGAACATTTATATGCCAGTTCAGGTTTTTAAGCGAAATATAGCTGGGACATGCCTTAAACTTTTACCTTAGAATTGTGTTTTATTTTTTTTTTTTATGATACTCTAGCCCCAAGCACATCCTGTGTGAAAGCTCTGCGTGTCACGAGATATCAGCCCCATTTATACCGTTGTTCTTGTACGTCGCAACGCTGTCCACGTCGTCCTCGGAAGTCTCGTTGGCACGCTGTATTTCCGCTGCAGGATCGTCGAGGGGCAGCCCGGGACTGGACGCCAACCACCTGGTCAGTCCCATGGGTGGCCGTCGCCTCCAGGAACCCCTGGGCGTGTTCATTGGCAGCGCCGAGAACCTCGTCGGACGGGTGCGTTAGCCGTGCGCAATTTGGATACCAAAGCGTGTACTCTAGACTAGCGCTTTGTTTACAAGCAAGCCCGCATTTGCCCACATCAGGTGTTGGCACTTAACATCCACAGAAACCAAATTTGTGTGAGGTTAAGCGTCTGCCACCGCACTGGCGTGGCGCCAGAGCCCGTTGAGTGTTGGTGTTAGTATACATTCCCTATCATACTTCCACAGGTGGTATCTTTGGGGGGTGTACCGATTTTGAGACTGTTAGTCAACCAATTCCGCGGTATCCTGGAGGAATTCGTTCGGGTTGCACGGTCAGCGGTTTTGCGATAAGTGTTCAAATTTCATTGGATTCTCGAGTGGTTCCCGAGACACAACACCCCCTAGGGGCACGTGCTCACATGCAGGAGAAGTTGCACGTCTTTGTGGTGGTGGAGCGAGCTGCGCGAGTGCTATGTCCCTCTCCTTTCGCCTTGCCGGGCACTCCCAGAGCAGGTGGCGCAGGGTGGCGAGATGCGCTGAGGACTGGGTGTTAATGGAAGTATCGGGGATTAGCCCGGCGGTTTGATTGGCTTGAGGTGGCACCGACAGGCCCCACAGACGTCAAGAGGCGGGTCTTCAACTCACTCTTGGCTTACGTGAGGACGGCCGGTCTGGCCGGCCTTCTGTAAGCCCTCTTCCCCTCCCCCCTTGCACCCCCTCTCCCTTTCCTGCATCCTCCTACCCTTCCCCTTCACGACAAGGCATGAAACCGGTCGCGTCGTACCCCTTCTAAATATGAATAAAACGTATCCAATAACAACAACACGTCTTTCTGCTCCCGCTCGCTGCCAATGAGGAATTAAAATTTGTCTCTCAGGAACGCCACTCACATCAAGACAAGTGCCTTAAAACAGAGGCGACGGTAGGCATCCGATTGAAATGTTCTGCCGAGCTGCTGCGGTCTTTGCTGGAATTGCGTATCTACCAATGCCATAAAATAGTTACGGGGGATGCGCCCGTCTTGTTCTAAATTCTATTTAACAGGCTGCCAGTGCACTTCAGTAACACCTCGCACGTAACTACCGAGATCCTGTATCGTGAGCTATCAGTGCTTTTAGCAGACCCTGGACGCACACGTGTTTCTTGAGACGTCCAAATTATATATTCAACCGTTCCTAACATGGTACAAGTGCCGTCAAGGGAGCTATGTTGAAATATCATGATGGTGCCCGTCCGCTGCAAAACAATCCGTGCGGTCCTTTCAGGTGCTCCACGAGCAGGGTCTGGGCAAGTACTGCGACGCGGACTTTGTCCGCGCCACGCAGCGGGAACTGGCCGAGGCGTTCAACCTGACCCAGGAAGAGATGGACCGTGCCGCCCACGAAATCCTCCAGGCCGAACGCCGGCGCAGCCTCCCCTACCTGCACAGCTCCAGCTCGGACGGCCTGCACCTGGACACCGGCAACACCAACGCCGACCCGCCCCAGCAGCAGGACACCACGACGCCCGCGACGACCACGACACCCCCACCGCAACGCACACAAAACGGAAAGACAGGAGGCCTAAAGGACACCTCCTTATAGCGACGGCGAGAACTATTTCCCATCCCTGGATTTCGCTGACAGAAGTATTCGCTCGCGATGCTCCCCCGTCTCACTACAGGAAAATCTTCGCTACCGTACGGGAGATGCTCCTGGTGACGGCGACACTTGCCCGGATTCATCCGGTAGAAGACCTGGCTGTCGGTGCTTCGCCGTCTTACCAAATGAAGATTGAAGTCTGCAGCACGCGAGGAGACGCGGCGTCATGGCTGCTTTTTCCGGCTGCATGTCATCAGCTGAGGGCCTTCAGACGACTTGTTATTTTAAGCGCAGGCGTTCGTCAAGAAGCTCCGGCGAAAAAATCCCACGACAAGCTCCGTTTTAGCTGGACTATTTTCACTGGTCGACAACGCTGTTTTCGGACGGAGGAAGCAAACTCGAAAGCGTTCGAGCGCAGAACCTTGTTAGAGTTTGGTCTAGGCTCAAACATTGTATTTTGGAGCTCTATCTCTTTCTTCACTTCCACTCGCGGCTGCTTCTCTAGCTGTGTGTACATAGCTGTACAGAACTCTAGCGCGTTCCCTGCGGCGCGCGCCTTGGTCCATCTCCCCCTTGCGCCGTCGTGACGCTCTCTCAGTGCCTTCTCAAGAAATGCGGAACGCGTTGTGATGCATTTGGATAGCGGTCCTCGCGGTGTCAAGCGACCCGCCGGCCCGGAGCGGCCTGCACCGCGAGGGACACACCCAGGAGCCAGGTTTCTCGAGCAGAGAAGCACCCCAGGCCTCCAGGGCGGCAGCCAAGAGTTTGGTAAGAAACACTCTCTACAGCATTCGAAATGCAGGTTCCCCCACTCTCTATTCGATCCCTCACTATTTTAGTCGGTACAGTCAGTGTTGTATGCAATGGCATTCCAATGCACGATGCTCTTAGCACGCGTTCCTTTGAGGAGGAACGCTGCCGTTTTATCTTTCCTCGGTGCAATGGGGACTCGTTACGTTTTTGAGGGAACGGCACGATGAATGGCGTTCTTTTTTTCTTTATGTATCGGCAGTTTTACTCGAAATTAGTAGGTATTTAGACATTTTATTATTGATTATTTCAGCATCCGGCTTTAAAGAATAAGGAAATGTTCGAGAGATGGTCGAAAATGGCTGGAACAAAAGTAATCGTGGTGACTCGACACGTCGTTCAATGTGGATAGTTTCATTTGCCTGCTTTAGTTTTTCTAAGGATTATTCCGTACAACATTAAATTGAAATACTCAAATGTACAGTTAGTGTAACGGCACGTTCCAATCTTAAAAATGTAACGAGGACGCGTTCCAAAATTGAAAAGGGACGAGGAACGAGCTTTCGTTCCTGCTTTGAAGGGACGTGTCCACCACCTGTGCTATGCCTTTCGTTCTAATCGCGTATCTGCGCTTGCTTGAGTGGGGGATGCCGAAAACGAATCATCGTAAGATCTGCAAGGGACGTATTCTGACCACCTCTGGTGTTACAACCCAGCCCATTACTTTCTCCTGTGTCATGTTTATAAAAGGAAAACCAACAGAAAATGTGGACCCCTCAGAAACCGTCTAACCCTGGAAAACTACGAGTATGAAATAGTTGACTGCATTTAGGCGTTTCCTATACTCTGTTGTAGGTTAAGAAAATCATGCTAAGTTCCCCTCGCAAAGCCGCTCACTCTCCCCACTTTAACAGCGCGAACGCTCGAATGAACGTGAGTTTACACGCCTGTTCCGAACATCCTCTCTTGCCTCCTCTAAAGCGTTCGCTTTGCTAAAGTGGAAAGAGTGGGGGGCTTTGCGAGAACTTATCCTCCTTTCCTTAATCTATAACAGAGTATAATTAGAAATCCTTCTACTGTGCATGAAATTTCTACTTCCCATTCCAAGAAGCAGCTGCATACGAGCGAGCAACATACCTCTCCTCCGTGTTAGTAAATCTAGGTGCTGAATGTAATATAGTCTTTCGTTGACAATTAAAAGCTATTTGAAACACGCCATGGTAGTTTCCCATAGTGGGAGCTTTTGGACGATGCGACGTAGCACTGGTCTCATCATCAACCGCTTTCCTAACTCCAATGACGATGATGATAATGTCTGCGCTCCCACACATTTTTTTTTTTTTTTGAAAACTCTTGGTCCGTGTGAAACGGCAGACATTTGGCGGCATCTGAGTAACTACGGGCGCCCGTCTCTTTCTTTTACTCGCAGGTGCATTTGAAGATGGTGAAGCCGCCTGGCTTCTGTGGAGAGACTTTCCTTTTCTTTGCCCGGTTCTCGGCATCTCATGTACGACTTTTATTGGCATAGGTCATCGTTGTTGAAGTACGCCTTTGGTTAGATGCGTTTTAGACCTTATCATATACTATAGGGGCGCCGCATCGAGGTGCCCCGTTCACGGTGTACTTTGAATTTTGCGCTTTAGGTGTACATTATCGAAGCGGCGATCATGTCGCCTGCACGGGCATTTCCCCCGTTTTGGTGTGGACAAGCCGCACTGGACCGGATGACGCTGCGGGAATCAGCGCCACTCGGCAGACCTTTGTCATGGCGTAGCATTGTTGCCTGTCCCGTTCTCGGGCCGATCCGGGTGCGCCTTGTGCTCTTCAGTGAAACTCACGATACAATCGTCCTAATCAATTCAAAACGAGCGGTAAAACGACTTATTCGGCAGCAGCAAGTGACGCGGTGTAGAGCCCGTGGCTCTTCCAAACCTCCCAGGAGGTTCAGCGTCACGGTCCCTTGTCTGCTGCCCGTAGCGCCGAAGGCCAGTGCGGCTTGTCCCCTTGCGCCGCCGAATGATCGGCTTGCGTTTTTGGGCAACATTGCCATCGGCACCCTGTGGACCATAGTGCTGTTGTCTTGTCCGAGGCTCCAAACGTGGCGCTCGTGACGGTGCCGCGCAGCCCAGTGGCGTAGATATGCATGCGAAACTTTCATTAGCGCCAGCTTTGACTTAGCGTTGTTTTAACGGATTTGGCGGCGTTTTTTCAAAGTGCCTGTATCGAACTGTACCCGTTGGGCATTTGTCCCCTTTTTGCACTTTTTAAAACGTTGTGATACACGGAGCCTCTCGGGCGCTGCTTTGTCCAGGTCCGGTCTCACACAAAAGGGGTAGCCAGCCTGGTTGCTGATTGGTCGACGGAATGCGAGGAGCCGTCATATTTTAAAAGCCTCTTGTTAATTAGAAGAAGAAAAAAAAAGAAGGCCCCTAGCGGATCCCGACAAATATTTTACGAGGCTCAGAACGGTTCGTAGATAAGCATGTTCACGCTTCGGGTTTAGGCCAAGCTTTGCGGTATTGTCGAGATCGGTGATTCAACACTAGGGCCACTGAATGTTCGCAGAATGCCGCCACTCTCAAGCATCGATTTGCCGCGGTGCGATGGCGCGCCACCATCGAATTGGCCTCGATCCTTACGCTGCTTTTTAGTGCCCCTTTTGCTCAGATCTCGGCGAGTTGCAGGTTGTTCGACATCCATCCATAGCAAGAATGATGTGTGTGGCAGTGAGCTCAGCAAAGCTTGCGGAGAGACACGACCAATTACGCGGGGGCAGCTTATCCGCCAAAGCACAGAAAGGCAGCCCTTTTGAGGGTTCCGGGCATCGAGCTATTCCGAAGGCGCTCACCCTCGCTGACCCCCTAGTGGAAGTTATCTGGCGTCAAAATGGCCGCCCCACGGGTGAGCCTCGTGAAAATTTGATCCGGGGACTCAGTCAGTCATTGGCTCTGGGAGGTACTCTGAGAGCATTCGGTGGTTCCAAGCTCTCGACACGAGACTCTAGCCTTAGGCGCGTTTTGTACTGCGGCCTCGCGGTCGAAGCTACTTGGGGGCGCCGCTTTTCGGGGCTCTTGGGAGCCGGTTAGCTGCCCGGCTTTGCAGCGCGCGCTTAGTTTGGGCCACGGAGGCTGATGCGTGTGCCAAAGCTGCTGCGGCCTCTGCGCACCCTTTTTGTTTCATTGTTCGCACTCCGCTTCTGTACACATCTTCGCTGGTGCTGTGTGACGCGCAACGGGGCAGCTTCACGACACAAAGCTCAAGTCAAGCGCATTTTCATCGACGCCAGTGACGGCTCGTCGTAGCCCTCGTCGTTTGCGCATCTCCCGCCGATGAAAACCCTCCAAATTTGAGACGGCAAGCGACTGTTGTTTGGCGTCGATAGAAATGCGCCGTACGCATCGTGCATTTCACGTACATTAGCTCTAGTATTTGATATAAAAAAATAATACAAAGAAAGAAACGCCGTTACCGTAGGCATTTACTCACTACCCGCTGTTGATGGAAACTGCAGATGTAAGCACTGACTCACAAACCCCGCATGCAAAGAGTGAGAGAGAGGTTTCGTTGGAGTTGTTTTTTCTTTCCCATTGTCAGCAAACGTTCATCTGCAGTGAAACAAGGTGTGTGCAATCTTCACATGCGACTGTTTTTAGGCGAACGTAGAACAACACACGGACAATCAATGTTTTCAAGTTTTAACGCCGCTATAAACATTTGGGAGGTTAATCAACATCCTGTTGTTTTTCCCATCAGAGTCTTTAATAAAATCTTTGTAAATTCTCAGGTAAAGGGACAATTAGAAAATCTGGTGGCAGTATTTAAGTACTGCTTAAAGTAAAACTAGTGTGACAAAAAAAAAAAGTGCGGTTTGTGGCACGAAAAATTCAAGAGACCCTGCCCCATTAGCAGCCGCAGAAATAAGCGAGAGTTCACCTATTCTGCGACGACCAAGGTACCCGGGATGCACACTTGCGCCACTGGCATGATTGAGAAGAAACGTGATTACGCTCGATGTATTTTGATACCCGTTGATGATTTCTTGACGGCGAAATAATTTTACTGCCTCTGGCTATCGAAAACCGCGGCAGTAAGCGGTGGTCATAACTGTCATAAAACGCCACCAGCGAAAAGCCAAAAAAGGATGGGTGTGAGTCTAGAAGAAGACAAAATGCTCGCTTTTATAAGAAGATGGCGAAGTTGCATATTTTCTTTAACATCGTCGAGCACTCGCATTATATCATTCAGTGTCCTGCAGTTACACGACGCTATTTGCGGGGTTTCCTTGCTGTTTCTTGTGCTTTTGAACGGGTGACCTGTTGCTTTGCCCATTTTCTCTGTCTGGTTTGTGTGCCGTGGGCCGAGAGCCTTGCTTGCAGACCACGCGCAATCATTCACGGCTGAGCAGTAACAACTCACTCTACGATGTACTACCATGTTATACGAAGACGTATGACCGTCGCGTCACACCTCTATACACCACGGTAGATTGGAGGACTGCCCAAACGGCACTCGCATATGTAAGTATTAGGAATTATTGCAACACTCTCAATGTCAACTATCTTTCTCTAGATTATTGCCTTCTTGTATTTACTTTGTGATCGACGCTTGAAGACGCTCACGTCATGGACCGAGTGACCATTGTATTTGTTTTCACAACTAAAGGTTCTGCTGAAAATCCATCTCGTGTTTGTCTTGAATGATCTTGCCCAACCATAGAAGTGGAACCTTTCCCAACAGGCGCTCTCGGATTAAATGGTTTAGATATTTCGGGGCGCCCCGTCCTTATGCAGAAAGGAGGAATCTGATGAATCAGGTATGAAGCAGGCAAAACAGTAAGGTAAGAGAAAGGTACTGTTAGGCTCCAGCCTGCCCCGGTGCTCAGTGAAGTTTTCTTCATGCACGTAGACCGATCAGTGAAGTCCCGACTGGGGGCTTTCGCTCAGAAAGCCGAGTATACCGATACGTAGATGATTACCTAGTTATTCACTCGACCTCCATCTCTTAACGGGCCATTTGTGCAGCGTTCAAATCCTGTTCGTCGGGTCCCAAGCTTACGAGCGAAGAGCTAACGGTTAAGGGACTGCAGTATCTGGATTTAAGACTTCATCTTAAACCTGTGCTGGAGTTTCCAGCAACGATTTAAAAAAAAAAAAACGGTTTTTCCTTTCTGCAGCAACCACTCTCAGTCAGTAAAGCTTGGAATTATTTTAAACCCGTTCGCATCTTCTCGTTCAAGATCGTGTCTCCACCTCTCATCAGCAAGAGTTCAACGTCAGCATGACCGACTGCTCCAAGCCGGGTACCCATCAGACCTCCTCCGTACTACACTTCGGCGTCTCATCAGAGCGCCCAACAGTCCTTCATCTAACAGCAAAGGACACGTACACACGGGCCCGTCATGAATTTCATACGTGCATAGCCCTTTAATAATCAAGGTATAAAATCAAAACAAGAAAAATGAGCAAGATTCTTTTTTTTTTTTTTAATTGCAAAGCACAAAAGAGTCATAAAACACATTGAACAATTTAAACAATTAATTTGCTGCCAAGTTTCTCGTCTGTTTCTCCCTGGATACACTGTCCACTGTGGGCGTCCACATCTACTTGGAGTGGAATGCTCGGAAACAGTTCCTGTTTTCATAGAAACACAGCAGCGCGCCGCACTTTACGGAGATTTCATTTCATTTCATTTCATTTATTATACTCTCAGGGCCCGAAGGCATTACAGAGAGGAGTGGAATTGCATACATCAATATAAGGTAAACAATAAAAACAAAACGCAAAAAAAACAAGGTACAGAATCGCTATGGAACATTATTAAGGACATTAGTTATGGAGGTTTTAAAATCAGCAGCGTCAGCAAGTGAGACTACGGATGCGGGAAGGCGGTTCCAGTCGGCGAAGGTCAGATGTAGGAAGGAGGCATAAAAGGTGGAAGTGATGCAGTAGGGGATTCCTACTTTTAGTGGATGATCGGTGCGCGGCGATATGTATGATGGTTCTGAAAATAATGAGGCTCGAAGTGCTGGGTTAGAGTGATAAATTTTGTGAAATAAGCAGAGGCGAGCTATTTTTCTATGAAAGGAGAGGTTGGGCAATTGTAGAGACGCTTTCATGGAGGTGACGCTGGCTGTACGGTGATAGTTAGAAAGTATAAAACGTGCGGAGCGATTTCGGATGAATTCAATGGATGATGCTAGGGATACGCCAGTGTTCTAGATAGAGCTTGCATACTCAAGTTTGGTGCGCACTAAAGTTTTATATAGGAGAAGTTTAAGTGAAACAGGGGGCAAGGGAAAAGTTTCTTCTGAAATAGCCTAATAAGCGATTAGCGTTGTTAGTGATATATTCGACACGGATGTTACAGGAGAGATCGTTAGTTATATGAACACCGAGATATTTATAGGTTGACACAGAAAGCAAGGTGGAGTTATTAATACAGTAGGAGGGACAAGTGTTATTTTGACGGGACCCTCTCATAGATTTACATTTAAAGGTGTTAAGTTCCATAAGCCAATTATCGCACCAGCGGGTGACGTTGTTAATATCGGTCTGAAGAGCAGATATATCAGAGTCGTTAATGATTTCCTTATAAATTACACAGTCATCAGCGAATAGGCTAATAGAAGAGGATACATGCGTAGAAAGATCGTTAATATATATAAGAAATAGAAGTGGACCTAATACGAAACCTTGTGGGACACCGGACTTGACAGGTGAAGTTGAAGAATCAGTTCCGTTAGCGTGAACAAATTGGTAACGGTCGAATAGAAACGATTCTATCCAAGCGATCATATGAAGATCTATGTTAAGTTTACGGAGTTTATGAAGAAGCAGCGCGTGAGGAACCTTGTCGAAAGCTTTTGAGAAATCAAGAAATATGCAGTCAGTCCTGGAACCCCGGTCAAGTGTTACGTGAAGGCCATGAGTAAAGGTAAGGAGTTGAGTTTCACATGAATAAGACCTTCGAAATCCATGTTGCGCTGACTTAAAAAAGGAGTTTGAGTCTAGAAAATTGAAAATGTTAGTGCAAATGATCGGCTCAAGGATTTTAGAAGGAATGCTCGTTAAAGAAATGGGACGAAAGTTTAAAGGGTTATGCTTATCGCCACCTTTGTGGAGAGGGATCACCTTCTCTACCTTCCAATCTTTTGGCAATTCTTGTTCGAGTGATTGCGAAAATAATTTAGACAAGATTACCGTGCATGAAAAAGATCCAACAAACACATCATTTAACAAAAAAGAACACACTTGGCACCTCCTCTCCATGGGTGTCCCGAAGCACTATGCCAGTACTAGAAGGAGAGTTAATAACTTTCCAAAGTTTACGCGGATTGTTAAGCAACATTGACGGCAGCGTATTGTTAAAGTAATGTAATTTTGCCTCTTCGACTGCTTTCTTATATACGTTAGGTGCAACATGGTAGGCCTCCCAGCGTTGTACATTGCCCGATAGCTTTGCAGTGCGAAAGAATCGTTTCTTTTTATTTGACAGCTTTTTCAATGTCACGCTGTACCATGGAGATTCTGGTGAAGAAGATACCACGCGAAGGGGAACGTGGGTGTTCATGAGTGACACAACTTTTTCTTTAAATAAACACCAGGGTAGCTAAACTCGTGGAGAAAAACATTCTTCGCTTTTTGACGTAGCGGGTGGAGTGACCAAAAGAACGCCGCAAAGTTTCCTCCTCCCTGCGCGCGCTCAACTTCGCAACTTTTGACGAAAAATCCCCCGCGATCCCTAGGCGGTGCACGAGAGCACGAGACAGCGCGGGGAGGCGAGCGTTCACGCCGCTCGCTGTACGTCGTCTTTGGGCTCTCTAGCGCCGACAATCCCGTCATGCCTCGCCCAGGCGAGGAGCGAGAGCAGACGACGAGAGTTCGTCTGCTACGATGAGGCATTCGCACAGCGGAACTGAAAGAAAAAGTTGGTTTTCTGCTCGAAATCGCGTCCCGCGGGCCACAAACTCAAACGCGAGCTTGAACTGTAAGCGTCTGATATTTCATGAAGGGAGGAATCGACGGCCCGTCTTTTATTTGCGAAATTTGAGTCGTTTTGTAGCCGTACAGACGCTGAAACCTACCAGTGTGTAATGAAAGGCCCAGGACAACCACAGGGGCCGCGAGATCTAGCATCATTTGTGTATGGGTGAAAAGTGCAACATTTTTCGACAAAGCTCCCACAGCAGAAACCTGCGACGCATTCACTCAGCGTCCGGGAAGGCTAAACATGGAGACGTTGCCCGAGACTCAAGCAAAGTCATATTTGAACGGCAGCTATTTCGCCCCGTCATATTTTGTTTTGAGAAAGCTCTCGTTCTCAATGCCAGGGAAATAAAAAGTCTTACGAAACGTATTGCTAGCTGTTCCAAAGAACTAGATATAAGCCGTATCCTTTCAGTGGTTCACTCATAATATTATGCTTAAAACGAAGCAAGCTCTTGCGCGTACAGTGCCATCAATTTCCTCAAGCGTAAGCTGTTTTGTAGTCAACTGGTTTCGGAAACTTACGCCGTCTGTAGATATCTCTGACAGCCAAGTTGCTTAAGTGGAAGTCATCGCAAATGTAAGTTCCACGTTGCAGCAACCAACGTTTAAACGATGGCAGCGACCGCACTCTCGCATTCCCACTCATCACCCTCCCTTCCAGATATTTCGGACTGTTAAAGAAAACAATACGGGGAAAGAGGGCGTGGTCGAGCTAATTTTAATCTGAAATTATTTATGCATATGTATAGCTACTGTCGCTCTTCACTGCATAAAAGATTGCGTAGATGGTCATTGTTAGAAACTCGTTGTCAGAAGGCACTACTCGTCACATGCTTAGTGGTTCGGAAGTTCAAAGCTATGTCTTTTCAACCTAAATACCTGTGCCAATAGTAAAAAAAAATAAATAAATAAATGCGGAAATAAAAAGCTGGAAAAAAAAAAAAACTATCAAGAATTCACCGGAAGTGTTGTATTCTTGCATATTCAGAGGTTCAAAACTTCATTAAAATCATCTGGTGGGCTAGTTGGCTAAACATAATGAGAAAATTAGCGCAAATACAAGGAAGGAAGAACGTTGGGACAGGAAAGAGCGCTCTTTCCTGTCCCAACGTTCTTCCTTCCTTGTATTTGCGCTAATTTTCTCATTATGTTCAAAACTTCGAAACAAGTTTCATTTACCAAAATGTGTACGGGCTAAAAGAAATACTTCCCAGGAACGTGAAGCGAAAAAAAAAAAAAAAAGTTTTCTTTTAATGACGTGCTGAACTTGAACACTATTAGAAATCTTCTCCTATGAGTTAATTACGTGAAAAAAACAATAAATACATTATTTTGCATTCTGCAGATGGCAATGATATGTACTGTCCGCGGTGTTAATTTAAATGCGATACCTCAAACTTAGACGAAAATAAATATCAAGTTTAGGGCATAATTGCATGTAGATACATGTTTGGACATTTCTTCAAAGCTCACGTTGAATAACAATAATCACATCTTAAGACGGCACTTACCTAGGCTATACATCGATCATTCTTAAAGAAGTATAACATCTCTACCATAAATAGCTTCGGCTACAGCGCGCTTCAAATCTGGCACAAACGATAATCGTCAAAAACCCGTCGTCCTTCCTCGCCCCTTCGGGAATTTATTTCTTTAAAACTAAGCATGCCAGAACATTGAAACAAACGGCA